TAATTATGGTGAAACATCTTAGCATTTCTAAAGTTCACTGCACTATAACATTGCAGAAATGTAATATTAAAGTTCTTAAAGGAATAGTTCACATAAAAATGAAAACACTGTCATCAATTACTCTCCCTACACTTTGTTTTTTTCCTTCTGTCTAACATGAATGAAGATATTTTGAAGAACGTTGGAATATTTGTTTTTTTCCGTTGATGTCAATGGTTAAAGGTAATCATATGCTGATATTAAATGATTTAATATAAATCATCTAAGTGATAATGAGGGTGCATTTTATTAATATCATGGGCACTTCAAAATATTGTGAATAATTATTTATTATTTAAACTTTTAAAATTATTTTTAAGGTTGTTCATATTATCACCAAATGTTTGAAGACTTAATTGGTTATTTTAATAGTTTTAACATAAACATTTTCGCATGTAAATAAGGCCCACAACATGCTGAAATATTAATTGAACTGTGATTATTTATAATGGTATTGTATGTTAACACTGCGATGTAAGGTACAATAGTTATTTTAAGTAAACTAATATTAACAAAGTAACTTTTTTATTACTATTATACATGTCAAAGTAACCTCTCTTTTTGCAGCTTAGGTCATATTAGGATAATACCATATACTGTGATAAAAGCTTCAGCAATTAATTACAATTAGAACATTTGATACCGACATAAGCCTTGTTGTTATTTTTCCTCTTTTGTGTTCACAAAAATAAAAATAATAATAATAAAATACTTAAGCTGGTTTGGACTATGTCAAGAGTAAGTAAATGATGACATTTTTTTTCTTTTTTTGGGTGAACTATCCCTTTAAGATGCTCACTGGTGCTGGTTATCTGGTAATGAAGGACCATAAGATTGACATGCAGTTACTGTATGCTGTTTACAATATACAGTTAATAATGTAATGATGTAATAATGTATTCGCACACTGGATATTATTATATCAATTACGTCAAGCAACCAAATATTCCATCATAACACAATGCTTTGCCAAATAGGGCTAAGTCGGCCTTAACAGCATGACTTTGTCTCATAATGAAGATTTTAAACGTTTAATACATGGGATGTTTGGTCAATTACACACATTTAAGCTTCTTAGTTGCTAGTTAATTTCTTTCTAAATTCATTCAGCACAAGTATGTTTTGCCTGTTTAAATGTTCTTCTTTGGAGGTGAATTCACTTTTTACGCTAAAGCTCTAAAAGTACCTTTGGCTGTTGTCTGAGCAATAGTTTACAGATGTTTGAACAGAGCTGATTTCTACAGCTGGTTACCAAATGTGTTTCAGTGTTCCTATGAACTGAGAAAAACAGCCTGTGTGTGTGGTGCACTGTAATAAATGCTGGGTTCCACACAATCGATTTGTGCTGGGACAACATGAAGGAATTAAGTTAACATATTAGTTTTTACAAATTTAAGTGTGTTGAACACAAAACAATAAAGTTAATTTATAAAAACAGCAAATCAATGTTATCAATTAAAATACCAATTGTCATTTTTTAATTAAAGATTGTTGAAATCAAATGACCGTGTAGCATGCAAAATTTGTCTATACACTTTAAACTGTAAACAAGTATGATGTTCTTGCTGTCTAGATGGGATAAATCTCGCAATAGTAAGCATGTGAAGTCTCTCATCTGACACTAAACATCTCTCTCTGTGTGGTTAGTATACTATAGTTTTGACTTTGATCAGCAGCTTTTGACACAGTCTGTTAGCGTGTCCAAACCTGCGGCAGTAAAGCTCAAGCTTCGCCCTCCTGCAGTCACCCAGCGAGAGACTCAGACTTTCAAGTCAATTCTGTTGTTCATTTCTGTCGGTTTTGCTGAGAAAGAATTCAGAAAACTTTTCAGACCTGTGCTCTGTGGTGTTTATACTTTCAAAATTCTTGCAGCATTTAAAAAATTGATCAACATTTTCTCTCACAGATTAAAGAGAGGGTCAGTTGTCAAAGTATAACTCTAGATGGCAGCACTTGAACATTTTGTTTTGTTTGTCATTTCAGTTATTTTAATAATTGCTAGTTTTTCAAATTTTATTTTTGGATTTGTCCTTATTTTAACCATATTTGAGTTAAAACAAGTCAGCATTTTAAAAGTGTACATTAAATTGATTCACCTTAATAAAGTTGATGATTTATAAGTATTTGTCCTCTTTTGCTTTTATAACATCAGCACAATGGTTAATATGAGGTTAATGTTAATAAAGAGGTTGATATGGTCAGTCAAATGGTATTGATTGTTAATTTTGTGACTAAATTAGTCTAATTATTAATTAAAGCACTGGATTCATTTTGTTCCCAGAGCATTTTCAACGATGAATGATATTTAATGAATAAATGTTACATGTCAGGATTGCTTAGTATTTGTTCATTAATAGCATCTCTTACTCAATCTGACCCCACAAGGACAGTAAAACCTGTTTTTTTTATACATTTAGGGGGGGAAATTATTTAAAAAAAGCTTAGAATGTTTATTGGAAAATGTAACAGTGTATGCGTGTTTGTGTGTGTGCGTGAGTGTGTGCAAGTGTGTGTGTAAATACTGATCGCCATCACTCTCTCAGTACCAGTTAATAGTTTGCAGTGACCTGGATATAGACTATGACCGCAGCTCACATACTGCTTTGCTGTCCATAGACAAACATGCTGATCAACAACAATGCTAATGCAAATATTACCTATTATGGCACCTTAACCCAGGACACAGGTGAGTGAGACCAAACAATCAAATAAACAAAAAGAGATTTCTATACCAATTCTAATCCTAAAATCAGAACCATTGCATCCTCTCTTATTTGTCCTAAATGATATATTTGTGAGCAAATGCATTTCGTCAAATCTATTTTTGACATGGTCTGATTAACTGTGAATTCAAATCTGTGATGTCCCAGTGTCTCTTACTGAAATATCACCTCCTATTTGTTATTTAATTTTTTTGTAATGATGAGATATAACGATTCTTCTTTTCAATTTCTTAAATCAAAAGCAATACATCTGAAAACACTTTTAGAGCGGGTGTCAGGCTTGAGTTAATAAATGAATAAATATTTAAATAAAATGATGGTGCAATAAAGACCAAACTGGTTAATTGTTCTTGGCATTAAGGTCGGCACTGTATTTGGGTGCCTGGTTATGGCAGTGTTTGTATTGACATTTGTTTTGCGAGGCGAGTGTGTGTGAACACAAAACAATCAAACTGATTAAGCGTTCAGAAACGAAAGACAAAATAGGTTTAATAGTCAGTACAAATGCTAGAAAAGGCCTCAAACGTACTTCAGCAGCTGCAAAGCATTATTTGTTTCTTTAGATCCACCCTTAAAGTTAAGGTTTAAAAGCATGACGAATAAGAATTCAGTACCTAACCACTGATAAAAGCGTCATACTGTGAAAATTATGATGTAGAAACAAATAGTTCTTTATTTTTATGATGTGCATATTCCTGTGCCTTTATAAAGCGTATATATATAAAATGTTATATATAATGTTTATTTGAGGTAGGTGCAGTAATGATGATTGTTATACAGTAATGAAATGATGTAAAGTGCAAAGAATGGGACATTAGTGGCAGTTCACTGGGTGTAGAACAGGAAATTAAATGTGGGTGGTTTTTATTCTGAGAGAATGTACTCCACCCTTAAAATAGTTAGATACAGCTTTTCCGTTTGTTTTTCGTTTTTTTGTCCTCGATGAAAAGAAGAGATCAACAGCACTGTTATTGAATCGGTGCAGATTTCTTAAGCGATATCATAAAGGAAAATGTTCTTTTTTTGTGTTTGTGCTGATGATTAACTCATTGTTTTTGTTATTCTAACAATGAAATGTTTTTCTTTTTTTCCATAAACTTTTGCATTTTGCCACATTAAATCTATTGTTACTTTTGAATAGATGTGTTTATTTCATTTTTAAAAGTGTAATATATAAATATGAAATTATTTGATTGAAATGACACTTTAGAAATGCAACTACAGTAAACCTGGCGGTAGTTGGGAGCAATTCATTGATTCTGATTTATTTTAAATTGCTAATCGTTCTGGAGCTCCATACATAATTCCATACTGTAGGCTATAATAGGTGAAAAACGCCTACTATGTCGCAACATAATTATGTTAATTCATAACTCAAATGATAAAATAAATGCAATACAATGTGTCAACTTAGAGAGATTTCACAAAAAAAAAGTACAATTTGAGTCATCTCATAGGCCACTATTTAGCACCTTTTCTGTAAATCCAATAATTTCTTCTTGTAAACCATAGGGGCAGCACTACTCCTGGCCAACCTCATTTATTGCAGCACTGCTTAATTATTAAGGGCAGAAAAGGTATAATATAGTGCATATTGATTGCTGCACGATATTGGAGAAATCTTATATGGCAATATTCTAGTTTTCTGTGATAAATATTGAGATAAATACATAGTTTTACAAGACAGTTTGAATAGCACTATTTGTTGGTTAATTAGTTCTATTTAATGCAAAAAAAGGCTTTTTCTACTCTGCTTTGTCTAGTTTCTAGTCCAAATATTTAAAAAAAATAAAATAAAAATAAATAAATCTTAGAACAAGTGATAATATTGTTTAGTTTTCAATGTCAGAATAAATAAGTGAAAAGTTTTTTGCTTGTTTTCCAGTGTGGTATAAGTGAAAAAAAATCTTGTTTTCACTTTGAAATGTAGGTATTTGTGGAAATTTGTGGATTTTTTTTTTGCATAAATCATAGAAATTCAATGTAAATACAGTGATTACATACAATTCTATGGCTCCTGGTCAACTATAATTCAGACTCAACATTGCATATCTTTGGAATGTGACTATTGCGAAAGCACACTTGCGATATTGATGCTGAAACAATATGTTGTGCAGCCCTAGCGCATGAATGCATATATATATATATATATATATGGAAACAGTCATAGCCTATAGAATATATAAGCCGTTCATGTACCCATTAAATTCACCAGGTATTATGTCTTTCCTCCTTTAGGTCATGGTAATCATAAAGAAGACAGTCCCTTCCTCAGCAGTTCAGACTCAGCATCAAAGAGGAATGACTTCTACGACAGAAACCTGGCCCTGTTTGAGGTTTAATCTTAATCTTACAATTTGATCAACTTTCCCAAATTCATAAATGAAATGTTAGACAAAATCTGTAGAATACCATATGTTTTCTTTTGTTTAATACTGCGGTCAGAATTATTAGCCCACCTGTTAAATTTTAATTCTTTTATATTTTTTTACAATTTTCGTTTTACAGAGAGAAGTTTTTTTAAATCATTTTTAAACAGAATAGTTTAATAACTGATTTGTAATAACTGATTTATTTTATCTTTGCCATGATGACAATATGTAAGATTTTACTAGATATTTTTTAAAGATACTAGTCATTTAAAGTGCAATTTTAAGGCTAACCTTGGTTAATTAGGTTTACTAAGCAAGATAGGGTAATTAAACAAGTTATTGTAAAACAATGTTTTGTTCTGTAGCTAATTGGAAAAAAATCTTAAGGGGGCTAATAATAATGACCTTAAAATGTAAAAAATAAAAATCTAGTCGATATAAAACAATTAAGAAAACATATTAGAGAAAAAACTGTAAAAAATCTCTTGCTCTGTTAAACATCATTTGGGAAATATTTAAAAAAAGAAAATGATGATAACAATAATTTAATTAATGATTGAATTAATATTATAATACATTATATAATAATTTTGACTTCAACTTTACTGTATGTTTCCATAGGAAGAGCTGGACATCCGGCCGAAGGTCTCGTCTCTTCTCAGCCGCCTGGTCAATTACACAAATGTTACTCAGGGTGCCAAAGAACATGAAGAGGCAGAAAGTGCAGATGCATCCAGACGACAAGCACCCAAGGTAAGATATCTATTTTAATCAAAAAAGTTTTCTCTGTAATTGAAGCACCTGTCAAAATTGAGCTCTGATATAATATTCTTTTTTTTTGCTTTTTCCCTATAGTCTCCAAATATGGGCACGCTAATGGGAGTTTACCTGCCGTGTCTGCAGAACATCTTTGGTGTGATTCTGTTTCTGCGTCTCACCTGGATAGTAGGAACAGCAGGTGTCGTCCAGTCCTTCCTCATCGTTCTCATGTGCTGTTCCTGCGTAAGTTGATGCAGACACACCCTCATATATACACCGTCAATGGATCAGGGCTCTTCCTGCTGTTTCAGCCACAGGATCAAACAGCCATTGCATTTATGCAACTTGCATTGGTAATAGACTATTGTGCAAAGCAATACATAGACATGTGGCATAACATAAATTGTGGGCATGACAAAATTACTTATTACTCCACTTTAATTTACATACAGTACTGTCACACCACCCAATATAAAATATGACTCAAATAATGTCAAAAAATGTGAATCAGATTGAAAAGAGAAGCAATAAAATTGTGCACAATTTATCATGAGGGTAAAACTTATTGCTAAATAGCCTCATGGTCTGTAGATAAAAAATCTTATTGTAAGTTTGGTTTTTAAAAAGTCCAATCTTTGGCTATATTAAATCAGCTAGACTAAATTAATTTAATTCAATTATTAGATTAGGTTGCTACTTTTACTGAAGAAAAGATAGAAAAAAGTGCCCAACCTTCAAATGCAGCGGTTATTGATTAGTCAGTAATGCAGTAAATCAGTGGTGCGACCAGAAGATTTAAATAGAGTGGACCTTGTTGAAAGTGATTCTGAAACAATCATCTAGTACTAATCATTTTACAACTGATGAGATCGAAATACTGTGTCTCATTTTACTGCCCCAAGTCACCAGTCTGAGTGTGCCAATGGCAGCCTGGCACTTTTGTAATACCTTAAAGGGATAGTTGGCCCTAAAATTAAAATTTACTCACCATTTACTCACCCTCAAGTGCTTCCAAAACTTTATGAGTTTTATTTGTACATAAAGAAGATTTGTGAAGAATGTGAGAAACCGGTAACCGGTGACTTCCACAGTAGGGAAAAAATCAAATACTGTGATTTAATGGGCACCAATATAACTTTTGACTTCTGTGAAAATAACTTCTGTGTTACTGAATAAAAGATACTCAAACAGGTTTGTGACAAGTGAAGGGTGAGTAAATGATGAAGTTTTGGGTGAACTATGCCTTTAAGAAAATGCTGCTTGATCAAAAGGATAATATATAACAAAGTGTTATTGTTTTTATTAATGTTTAACTGTATGATTTGACTTCTTATGTATTATGACTTCAGTGTGATTGATTTCTTTTTTGTTTTATTGTCTTATTTATTTTATTATCTGTATTTTTATTTTTAACAGACAATGTTGACAGCAATCTCGATGAGTGCCATAGCCACCAATGGTGTAGTTCCAGGTAATTTGAAATGTTTATACTAATGGTTATCAGGACAACTGGAAATAGTTATTCTTCTGAATGGTTACATCCTATAAAATCAACATAACTGTAGAAATTTATTTATTTACTTTTCCCTTTCAGCTGGTGGGGCTTATTTCATGATATCTCGCTCTCTGGGCCCTGAGTTCGGTGGTGCTGTTGGTCTCTGTTTTTATTTAGGTACAACCTTCGCTGCTGCCATGTACATATTGGGAGCAATTGAAATATTTCTGGTCAGTCTTCTTTTATTTTAATCACACACAAAGCATGATCTAATCTCAAAGCCACCCAGATCTGACAATAATAATTCTTCAACTCTTATTTTTCACAGAAATATCTGATTCCTCAGGCTGCCATATTCCATCCAGCAGATATTCACGCAGGAAACGGTGCAATGCTGAATAACATGCGGGTTTATGGCACAATATGTTTAAGCCTCATGGCTGTGGTTGTTTTTGTGGGGGTCAAATATGTCAACAAATTAGCCTCGCTGTTCCTAGCCTGCGTCATAATCTCCATTGTTTCTATCTATGCTGGAGCGGTCAAGTCCATCTTCCACCCTCCTGAGTTTCCGTAAGTTTTTCTGTAATACTTAAATATTGGGACAAATAATATACAATCATAAAAAAAGGAAAAATATGGGACAAACAATACTGGGATAAATATTAAATATATATATTGTATATAGGGTGGCATTATTTTACATTTTTTTAAATTTAATAAATTGTGTTAGTATTGAATACATTGATTAAATTGTTGTTTCAAATGCCAGTTAATCAGCTAAAGTCTTTAAACATGTCTTTAAGTAGAGAAAAAAATAATATAAATCAGTTTTGAAAATTGTGTGTTATTTTAATTGTGATGTTGGATCCTTGCTTCCTCGTCCTCATTTGTAAGTCACTTTGGATAAAAGCGTCTGCTAAATGACTAAATGTAAATGTAAATGTATGTGCTTTATGCCTCGTCTCCACTGATATAATACCAATTGGTATGGGTCACCCAGACCAGGCTTTCATTTTCTCTGTCAACAATACTTTTGATTGGTTGTGTGGTGGTTCAAAAGTAGAAAGAGAAGTGAGTCTAGCTCCACCCTTTTGGCACCATATTGTACTATATTTTATTGTACCATATTGAACCGCACCAAAAGGGTTCAAAAAGTGGTACATTTTGGTGGAAACAGAAATAAATGTATACCACGTGTACTGTACTGTACCACACCACTCAATGGAAACAAGCCAATAGTAATGTAGCTCTTCAGAGATTTTACACATATAATTTTATCATTATTTTCATTCTTTCAATACCATAGGATCTGCATGTTAGGAAACCGGACATTGGTTCGTGATTTGTTTGATGTTTGTGGGAAGACGGTAGTTGTCGGTAATGAAACGGTCCCCAGCAAGTTGTGGAAGAACTTCTGCACCTCTGATAACATCAGCAGTGCTCACTGTGATGAGTACTTCTTCCACAACAATGTTACAGAGATCAAGGGCATTCCTGGGCTGGCCAGTGGCATCATTAAAGGTAAGGTTACACTGTCCAGTATGTCATAAAGAGCAGATTAGACTATTACACAGTACTAAGCATCATGCAGTTTACTTCTCTGGCCAATTTCTAGTTAATACACATAATATGTGGCTCTGATTTATAGATTTTTAAATTTTATGAGGAATTTGTTTATGTGTTTGTTCAGAAAACATGTGGGGGGATTACATGGAGAAAGGACAGATTCTAGAGAAGGCAAAACTGCCCTCTGTTGATGTCCATGGTTCCATGGAGACATTTGGCTTCTACGTGTCTGCTGACATCGCTACATCCTTCACCCTTTTAGTGGGGATATTTTTTCCTTCTGCCACAGGTAAAACCCATATACCCACCTTGATTTTGATTTATATGTAATACATGGGTTAAATATTAGGCATTTTCAGCTCTAGGAAGAGAAACACAAACAACACTGGAGTTATGCAACTGTTGGACTTTGGCTTTTTTAGTCTTTTTCAGTTTAATCAATAGAAAACATCCAAAATACACTTTTAAGTGTTTTTTTTTCATTCCACTTTATTAATTTGTGGCTGAACATTCAATTACAGTACCAATTTTTTACAGACGGTTTTCTCAAAAGGAGTGTTTTTAAATCTCCACTTCCGCAGCACACCACACTTTACAGTTTATTCATATCTACTGTATATTATGAAGTTTTTTTACATAGTTATATGTTTGTACATAATCTGCCTGATTTTGTACACAACATTTTACTCTAGCATTTTTTTCTTAATTATGCAGTATAAAGACGAGATTCCCCAAAACTTCATTGTAGAAACCTTTGACTCTAATATGTTAAAACATAGTTCACAGAACAGTACTGGAAGGAAGGAACCAAATATAGAGTTAGCAGAGCTTATTGACAGACAGAAGTAAGGTAAATAAACAGTACCAGGGGGATGACAGTAGGTTAGGCAGGAGAAACCCAGTGGAGACCACAGTTGACAGCAGGCTGTGAGACCCTTTACATTTCTGGGTATCTCAGCAGGGGATGTCATCATAGCAGTGTTATTATGGCAGCAAAATTGTATTCAATTTTAGTCTTAGTCTTAGTCTTTTAGTCATATTTTAGTCTTCTGAATCATTTGAGTTATAGTCTAGTTTTAGTTGACTAAATTTCATAAGATTTTAGTCAACTGAATCCACTTGAGATTTAGGGAAGGCTGGGGGAGAAATTATTATTATGGGAGTTTTCTGGAAGAAATAACAAAACGGGAGGTTGGCGGGATGTGGGTCTGAAATACGGGAGACTCCGAAGAAATACGGAAGGGTTGGCAGGTATGGTGTTAACTCACATAGAGGAATTTTAAAGCAAAGCTGTACATAAAAAATAAAAATGCACTTCGCTTTACGGCAGTTTCGTTATGTTGGATGCAACATCAAATACATCATTGTTGTATTTGTCTTGACATCAAATGTGAATCTTCTTTTTCTCTCAGCTGTTGGCATTTCATTATAGGTTAATCTGACATACGCTCCTATATGGAAGATGATGTAATTGCATCCCACGTCTACTGTGGAGCAGTTACTATGTGTGTGTGTGTGCGCGCGTCATGTGTCACACACCAAGATAAATTCTGATTGGAAATTTTCCAAAAAACATCTCAATCACATTCTTGTCTCATTTCTATTAGTCAACAAAAATGTCACTATATTTTTATTATAGTTGTCATCATCAACGCATTTTTATTTAGTTTCATCAGTAGAACCTTCTAAAACCAAATGATTAATAATCTGAGTAATATCACCACATATAGTCCTCTTCAGCTAAAAGAAGAAAAAATAAGCATCTTGTTTGAAATTTCAGTTTAACTCCTCTCTTGTGTGCAAATGACAGAATGCAGTCACCAATTTGTTAAGGAGTATTTGATGTAGAGCACAGCTTTTTCATTACATCTGTTAGTTCACACTTCAGATGTATTAATTTAGTATGTATTCTTCCCTCTGTATCTAAAACAGGAATTATGGCAGGATCAAACAGATCTGGAGATCTAAGAGACGCACAGAAGTCTATACCAATTGGGACGATTCTGGCCATAACAACGACCTCTCTTGTCTGTATCCTTTAATGCTTTTAGTACTAACATTACAATTACGACAATAAATGTTACTTTTATCAACATGATGCTATTTTGTGACTTAAATTCCCTGACTCATCTGAAAGATTTTAGCTCTGTGGTTTTGTTCGGAGCCTGTATTGAGGGTGTGGTGCTCAGAGATAAGTCAGTCATCTGTCTCTACAGAGTATAAAAAAATAAAAAATAAAACATTTCATTGGATGGAAACAAACACATTATGTCTAATGTGTTCTTGTTTATGTCTTGGGTCTTGTACTGTAGATTTGGAGATGCAGTGAGTAAAAACCTAGTAGTTGGCACACTGTCCTGGCCCTCACCCTGGGTCATTGTGATTGGCTCCTTCTTCTCCACCGTGGGTGCAGGTCTTCAGTCCCTGACCGGAGCTCCTCGTCTCCTGCAAGCCATCGCTAAAGATAACATCATTCCTTTCCTCAGAGTAAGACATCTGCTGATTTATGATCATTAAATGTTTAAGTAATGCATTTATTAATTGCAATTAACTTGCCAGTTGGCCAGATTTTTTTACAGCAATGATTGCATACAAATAATGGTATAGCGTGATTATTAAGTCCCAAAGACATCAAGCCAATAAAAATGTAATCTAATGATAATAATTATAATAATGATGATGATAATAAAAGTAATAATAATATGCAGTTAGATGTGTTTCCCATAGAGATGCGGTGATGTGGTAGTTTTATCAGTTTCTGGCATATAAGACATATGACAATAATATGGCTACGTTTACACTGCAGGCAAATGTGGCCCAAATCTTTTTCTTATCTTTTTTTGCCCACAAGTGACACAAATCTGTTTTTATCTGGACAGTGTGAACTTGCATTGTCTTGCAATGCAATCGCAGTGTGAACATTTATGTAGGATTTCATGTCAGTTATGTCGGGGGATGTTGCGGATAGGGGATCTGTTCGCAAAGGAGGGGGCACTTTTATTTAAATGGGGAACTTTCTCCCCAGTAGAAAAAAAGGGCAGGTGCTCAAGCACCCAAACCTCCCTTCTGCAACAGCCTGTTGTTTATATACTGTATATACGCACACACACAAAGAAACATCTAGATCTATCTTTTTGCAACTCTCACATTGCTGACATCTTGTCTTTTCTGAAACAGTAAAACTCTCAGATGTTTGTGTGTTGATTTTGACATGTCATGCTATATAAAAGATACCAGCACTAGTTATTTCTGTAATAAGGCATGTACTATTTAATAGTTAGTTAAATAAATAAACACAATATGGCACAAATAAGTGTGACAAAGTGTTAGTTTCAGGTTCTGGTGTTTGAATAATGCTTCATATTAGCATAATACTAATTTTACATGATAAAACAACTGGCAGAGAGTTGGAAAAAATTCAAAGAGATGGAAATGTAATTTTCACTTCCTTTTCTGGGCAAGAAAACCACACAAGTCATCATATCATGCATTTGCATGTCATATGTAAAATGTTGTTCCTAAAATGTAAATATGTGATGCTTACAGCTGACTGCTTTTCCATCTCTGTTCATGTGTTTGCTCACGCTCAGGTCTTTGGACACGGTAAAGCTAATGGAGAACCCACATGGGCCCTGCTGCTGACAGGACTCATAGCAGAGCTTGGCATCCTCATTGCATCACTGGATATGGTCGCTCCTATTCTCTCCATGTGAGGACGCACTGCAAACCTACACACGCTGAATCATCCCAATTTAATGATAAATAATACATTATTTTAATTGCATATAAAGTTTACATTTTTACTTTCATTTGTAGTTCATTATTTTTCACATTGAACCTGAAGCAGTGCATTTTATTTTGGGTTTAATAATTATCTGGTTCATTTAATGTAGATTTGCATTTACGTATTTAGCAGGCGTATTTATTCAAAGCAACTTACATTGAATTCAAGCCACACATTTTACATTTTATGATGCTATTTTGCTTTTCCTTGGATCCAGACCTTGAACCTTGTCATAGCTACTGGAATACTGTATGCACATCAGGAAGTGTAGCTTACACTGAAGTGCATTTTGAATGGCAAATACAGCAGACTCTGTTGATAAAATTAAAGATGGAACACTTTATGGGTCTAATTTTGGGCTCAAGCTACTGACTTCCTACAATCATATTTATATGCATCATATTTACCACCCGACCATATTGATATTAGTTCCTTCATGTCTAAATGATATTATCTGCCCCTTGCATGTTTTAAAGGTCACTAATTTTAATAGGTATACTGTATGCTTGTTCACTTGACAGGTTTTTCCTGATGTGTTATCTATTTGTAAACTTGGCATGTGCAGTACAAACACTATTAAGGACACCAAACTGGAGACCGCGGTTCAGATATTACCATTGGTATGTGTACATTTCATTTATTTGATCTTATTTGTGGAAACTCTTCACTTGTAGTCACATTTGAATTTAGGCCAAACTGTCTCAAACTCAAAACTCTCAGCCCTTGATTTCCACTATTCACTTCCAGCCATTGTTTACAAATGAACTTTATTAAAGGGACAGTTCACACAATAATGAAAACCTTGCTGAACAACAAAGAAGATCATTTGAAAAAGTTGGAAACTGCTAACCATTGACATCTATAGTAGAATAAACAAATGCTATAGATTTGAATAGTTACAGGTATCCAACATACTTCTAGATATCTCCTTTTGAGTTCAATTAAACAAAAGTAAATGTCAATGAATAAATAAATGTTCATTTTTAATTGTATTATCCCTTTAAATCAATTTCTGCTATTGTAACAATCATGCAGAGTCTTTTATGATATGTTGTATGTTGTCTCTTAGGGCTCTGTCTTTTCTGGGCATGAGTATGTGTTTAGCCCTTATGTTCATCTCCTCTTGGTACTATGCCATTGTAGCGATGGGCATTGCCGGAATGATCTACAAGTACATTGAGTATCAGGGGTGAGTGCTTCTTAATTGCACCCATTAAACTGATATGAATCGCTGGAAAGCACTTAAAGAGGAATTGTAGCTCCCCACATTTGGTCCAAATCTCCGCTTGGTGTTTTCTTGTGTTTTAGAGCAGAGAAGGAATGGGGTGATGGGATCCGTGGTTTGTCTCTGAGCGCCGCCCGCTACTCTCTGCTTCGCCTGGAGGCTGGACCACCCCACACCAAAAACTGGAGGTTGTGTCTTAGTTTGACAACTGTGTTTGTTTTCCACAGTAAAATAATTCTTAAAAATTAAAAAAAAAAAAAAAAAAAGAAATATACATTGTCAGTGCAGTAAAATTTTACTTAAATATCATGATTGGCCATTTTTCAAAACTTTTGAAAATGAATTTGATAATGACTGGGGAACACCTTCAATATTGTTTGATAAGCTGGAGGATGTTGTTTGATTAATATGCTCCTGCAGGCATATTTCACAATGTGTTTGCACTTATATTACCATAGACCAGGTGTGGGCAAACTTGATCCTGAAGGGCCAGTGTCCTGCATAGTTTAGCTCCAACCCTATTCAAACAGACCTCATTGTAGAGTTCAAGTGATCTTGAAGACACTGATTAGTTTGTTTAGGTGTGTTTGACTAGTGTTGGAACAAAACTCTGCAGGGACACCGGCCCTCGAGGATAAAGTTTGCCCACCCCTGCCATAGACAGTAACATTAACATTATGAACTTAATGCAGGCTGCATCAAAAGTACAGTAAAAATACTAACACTGTGAATTATTATTATTATTATTAGGATTGAAAACTGCCATACAATATTATTTTAATATATTTTACACATAATACAATTACCTGATTTGGTGATCAAGAAACATTTTTAACCAAGTATCATTATAAATAAGAGCTGCTTAAGATTTCTTGCACAAATATTTGGGAGTAGGACTGGGATTATTATTTTTTTGTTGTCATTTTTAAAAGATTTGTTTATGTATTTATTTAATTTACTGTTACATTTATATTTACAGTACTTTACATTTATTAATTAACTTCTGCTTTTATCCAAGGCGACTTACAAATGAAGATAAAAGCACCGCTTGAAATCACCAGAGAGCAGCACAATATAGATTAGTCTAAGTTAGTTTAGCAGCTTTTTAAAATATATAAATACACTTATACATACATAAACACATATACATAAACATAGAGAGTGTGTCTTCTACAGTATGTTTGTCAAGTTTACCCACCTGCATAAAGTACATTCAGAATTGTTAAATGTTTTCCCAGAACATGGAGTGCTTATAATAAAGTGTCTGTTAGCACTTATTTTAAATTAAAATATTTGTAACATTATAATGGCATCACAGTCACTTTTAATGCTCCATGTTGACATATTGCAGCACAGTACTTATTTTATAAACTTTTGCCCTACAATAAGATTAAACCTGAATCTTGTTTATAGGCCTCAGCTGCTGGTTCTGTTGAAGTTGGATGAGGATCTGCATGTAAAGTATCCCAGATTGCTTACCTTTGCCTCACAGCTGAAGGCAGGGAAAGGCCTCACCATTGTAGGATCTGTGATTCAGGGAAACTTCCTGGAATGCTATGGGGAAACACAAGCCTCAGAACAGGTAAGGAATTTTCCTGATTTACATAGGTTTGTTGCATCACCACATTCTTCTTAACCTGTAGTTCTTCTTTTGTATTTCTAATACATGTTTATATATATGTATGTATATTTAATTCAATTAATTTAATTCAGTATAATATTTATAGTGAAATGCACTCACTCAGGGAATTGTTTAATATAGGATTTTAGCAAAAATATTTAGAATTTGTATCATACAATACATTCAATTGAAAAATGTAAATTTTAATTGCTTTATTTTTATATTTTGTATTTATTAACTTAAAATTATTGTCATTTGTTTTTGCCATTCAGATAGCCTTGGATGCTGACATGGCATTAAAATAAACAATTAACTGTCTTATATCACCTTGAGAAGAATCCACATTTGTATATTAAAGTGGAAACAGTGGATTTTAATATTAAATTGTGCGTTTGTGCTATCAGGCGATCAAGAACATGATGGAGATAGAGCGAGTGAAGGGCTTCTGTCAGGTGGTGGTCGCCTCTAAAGTCAGAGAAGGGATTGCGCACCTCATCCAGTCCTGTGGTCTGGGAGGCATGAAGCACAACACTGTTGTTATGGGCTGGCCATATGGCTGGAGACAGAGTGAAGACCCACGGGCTTGGAAAACCTTTATTAGTGAGAGCAAGATTTATTGGAAATATATTGTGCTCGTAATCTTCTGCGAAAAAACGTTTTCCTGAGAAAGGCTTATGTTAATCTATTTCCTTTTTACAGATACAGTCCGCTGTACCACAGCTGCACACCTAGCTTTGATGGTGCCAAAGAATGTGTCATTCTATCCCAGCAATCATGAGCGTTTTACTGATGGATATATTGATGTCTGGTGGATTGTGCATGACGGTGGAATGCTCATGCTCCTGCCTTTCCTTCTCAAACAACACAAGGTGTGATTTAAAATCAGTCATTTAACCAATATTATATAAATTATAATGATTTATAAATTAAATCAAATTAAATATGTAATATAAATTAACAAATTATAAAAAACTTTATTTTAAAGTGGAAATGAAAAGCACAAGGGTTAAAGACGTACTTCACACAAAAGTGAAAATGTATTCACTATTTTCTCAGCCTTAAGTGGTTCTAAATCTTTGAGTTTCTTTCTTCTTTTGAACACAAAGCAAGATATTTTGAAGAAAGCTGAAAACCGGTAATCATTGAATTCCATTGTAGGACAAAGAAATAGTATGGAAAGTGAATGGTTAGAGGTTTTTGATATTTTTCTAAATATCTTCCTTTGTGTTCAATAGAAGAAAGAAACTTAAACAGGTGTTTAAAAAAAGTAAAGAATGAGTGAATGATGACAGAATGCTCATTCTTGTGTGAACTATCCCTTTAGGGGGTATCTTAACACTTACAATGTTGATTTTTTTTTATATGGGGCTTGGCTGTTAAAGGTACTTGGGTGTTTTGTGAATTTATAAATAAGGGTTTAAATTCTTTAGTAACATATCGATCCCACACTCTCTGGCTCAGTCTGCCTGCAGCAGTAGCCACACCCCATACCCTTATTATTGGTTGACCTGAAAAGTAATTGACAGTATTCAGTGAACCACTGCCAGTGCTTAGATTGTGCCAAGAGACTCCATGTTCAAACTAGCGAAAACTATCACTGTCAATGAACATAAGACAGGGTAAGGAGAATTTATCACATATACTGTACATATACAGTAAGCTTTGTTTTTTTTAAAGACGTTTTTTTTTTTTTTTTTTTACCAGTACAGGACAAGTTTTATCTTTCAATTGATCAAAGAATGACTTGAATGTCTATGACAAAAAATGACTTGAATGTCAATTTATATAGATAATGATAACGATTGATAAAAAACATTTCTTGAACAGTAAATCTGCTTATTAAAATTATTTCAAAAGGATCCTATGACTGGATTAATTATGTTAAAAATCTTCTTTAAAATCACAATAATACATTTGGGCCACATTTCATTTAAGATTATTGCTAATAACAAACCTTTTAAAACTCAAAGTACTGATTTGCTGCTTATTAATTGTTATTAAGTTTGTTGTTGGGTTTAGGTATAGGGTAGGATTAGGGATGTAGAATATGATCATGCTGGATATGTATATAAAACTACAAATAAACATCCAATATCTTAATAATAAGCATGCTATTAAGCAACTAATGAATAGTGAGAAATGGTCCCTAAAATAAATTATTCAGAAAATTTGAATTTAAAATCTAAAAAAGTTTTTTAAATTACTAATTTGAAATTTTTTTTTACTGTTTTGCTGTACTTTGTATCAAATAAATGCAAGCCTGGGCAACAGAAGGGCCTTTAAAAACAGAAAATCTTGCGGTTATATTTTTGACCATATTTTTTTTTCATTTAGGTGTGGCGTAAATGTAAGATGCGAATCTTCACTGTGGCTCAAATGGATGATAACAGTATTCAGATGAAGAAGGATCTGGCAACCTTCCTATACCAGCTCAGATTAGAAGCAGAGGTGGAAGTGGTCGAGATGGTATAAACAACTACAAATATTTCACATATCCCAGCCCATCCCAAAATGTATATGCCATTATAATTTCATTCTGTCAAATGTTGTTATACACAGCACGACAGCGACATCTCAGCATATACGTATGAGCGGACACTGATGATGGAGCAGAGGTCACAGATGCTGAAACAAATGAGGCTCTCCAGTGCAGAAAGAGACAGAGAGGTACAGCAGTATTAACTCATCAAAATGATATAAACTGTACTACTTTTAATTTTTAGATATTGTGAAAATGCAGCCCATTTACTAATCAAGCAAGTTTGTGCATGAAATCAGCATGTGAATAGATAAATCACCAAAGCTGTGTTAAAGTTCAAGCTGTGAGGTTTCTCTGAATAGCAGCATCATTTACGTGCAGTTCTGTAATCTGGGTGTGTGTTTAAATATTGTGTTTGAATTGGTTTAGTTTTTTGTGAATGAAAGACGTGGCATTGCTCAAAAATTAGGCAAGAGTCATGTGCTTGATGAGTGAAAATGGTGAAAATTCTGCTTGAAGGCTGAAAGGGAACTTATCTGGACATAATGTGTGCGTGGTTGATTAGTCATGCAAATGACTAGACATGATTAGTCATGCAAATTACTAATATTTAAAATACTCCAGATTCACTATAACATTCAAATATTAACAAATTAACTTGTACATTTGATAAAAGTTAGGTGGGGAAGTCTGTCTGTGCATACAAATACAAAATATTATTCCACACAATTATTAGTGCATGTGGTTGTTTTTGGATATGAACTTAAATTCATAAAATACTGTATTTTGCTGTTCTAGAAATATGTGTAAATGGTAACAGATGTCCTCTTTGCTATTTTAGTGCACACATTCTTTTAAACTGGGCTACATTCAGCTTCATCTCTTTAATTTGAACTCATTGGAAGCCTTTTGTTTTTTATTTTGAACACGCTGATAAAATTGTCTTGCTAGTGAATAAGCACATTTGTAGTATTATTAAGGTCACTTAAAGTTTTTTTGAAAGCACTTTGGGTGCAAGATTTAGTTCTTTTAACTTCAATCAATGATAATGTATTTATTTGCTTATAATGCACCAGTGTAATGTGATGTTACAAATTACTGTTTTTTTTCTAATTTTTATTTAGTATTTTTATATTGTCCACAAATTTATGTTGCAGCACTAAGGACAACTGCCATATAGTCAAATATGCTGATGACACAGTTTTTTATCCTTGTTAACAAATACAGATTGAGTTTTATAAGTGAAGTTTAACAAACTAACTTCAAGAAGAGCGTGTAATATAATTGATCGCAGCTGGCCTCTCATCTGTAATCATTAGTAAGCCAATCGGATCATTCCAAACTCACTATAAATAGCCAGTCTAGTATTACTCTCTCATCATAATTGTTTGTAGAACCCCAGCTCCACCTTTCTTCCTTTATCAGGGGGAGCTCTCGAGAACTGCCTGATCTCGTACCCCCTCACAAGCTCGTTGACCAGGCAGGAGTCCTGGGCTCAATTATCTCCGAGCTCAGTGTTATCTCCCAGGACAGCATGCCAAACCTGCTATTATTATCATCAAACAATATCTAAGTGTAAACTCTTAAAGTGGTGAACTACAACTGAACATCACAAAAACGAAAGAGATGGTAATTGATTTTAGAAAACAATGTCTCAGCAGTGAAACCGGTATATTTTAATGGAAAACAAGTTGAAAGGGTACAGGAATATAAGCATCTAGGCACAATCTTTGATACCACAATAAAATTTCAGCGGAACTTAGAAGCGGTTCCTAAGAAAATGCATTAGAGAATTTATGTTCTCAGGAAACGGAACTCTTTCTGTGTAGAAAAACATATCGTAAGAACTTTTTTAATACATATATTGAGAGTATATTAGGCTTTTCCTTTTTATACTGGTTCTCCTCTCCACAAAAATCGCCTTCAAAACTTGCTCCAAGATTATTGGTTTGCCTCGACAGAGTCTAGCAGAGTTACATGAACAGCAAATGATAAGGAAAATTCAAAGTGGGATAAGAGATGATTCACATCCTCTGAAGCCTTTTTTTTGTATTGTTGCCCTCTGGAAGAAGGTTTAGAAGCATTAAATGCTCTTCTAAAAGATGTAAATTCACCTTTGTTTCTGATGGAATAAGGTTTTATAACCTTACATTTTAGCAATTCTTTTTTATTTTTAATGTATGGTTTTTTTTTCTTATTGCTGTTTATTGTTAGTACTATTTATGAAGTTATTATAAAGCATGCTGGATTGTGTTTTTTATATTATTAAGTAAGTCATTTGTTTTTTATGTGTTTGTTGTATCATGATGCTACTGCCCTCATTTAATTGCCCCTGGTGGTATTAATGATAAAATTATTGAACTCAACTAAAACCACCAAATAGAAGATGCTTTCTCTTAATTGTGTTGACAAAAACTAATTTGTCTTTAAAAATGTGGTATGTATATCGTGAATATATTTTAAAAGAAGAAAAATGCTTTTAACTTTGTGTACAAAATAGATCAAAGTGTAACAAATCTTCAATGTGTTATTGACTTTCAAAAGCCAAAGAAATCCTCCAGCAGCTCTTTGAAATGCAGTCATTACTCTTCACTGCAGGCCCAGCTAGTGAAAGACAGACACTCACTGATAAGGATGGGCAGTTTATACTCGGATGAAGAAGAGGAAACCATTGAGATATTACCAGAGAAAAACCAGATGACCTGGACTAGTGAAAAGATAGAAGCAGAGAGACGTAACCGAAACAACGCACCAGAAAACTTCAGAGAGCTAATAAGCATTAAACCGTGAGTAGACAAGCAGCAACAAGAACTGGCAAGAAAGCAATGAACTCTCTTGACACACTATTTGCAATAAAGTTTGAGTTTTACTTTTTATTCTGTAACATAGCCCTATTTCTTTTTTATAGCATGAAATGTAGTGGATAACTGATGTCAGCTTTCTGTTTGTGTTTGCCTTTTTTCCTAAGTAAACTGTGTAGGTGTGCATGCTTGCTTAGCTTCAGTGTGCTACTGTCTATTATCTGGAAAAGCTAATAAGAGCCCTTGCCCTTCTTTTTTAATCACACAAATGTACACACAGAAAAGTGTCCACCAATTTAACACTGAATATGTGTTTGTTACAGTGACCAGTCTAATGTCCGGCGGATGCACACAGCTGTGAAGCTGAATGAGGTTATTGTCAACAAATCCCATGATGCCAGACTTGTGCTGCTAAATATGCCAGGACCTCCACGCAATCAAGAGGGAGATGAAAACTGTATCCTTCACAGAAAACAATATAATACTTTGGTCACACTTTACAATATTGATTTACTAACATGAACTTATAATAAAGAATACTTGTACAGCATTTATTAATCATAATTCAACATTTACTAATGCATTTACCATCCAAGTTCATGCTTTTTAACATTAATTAATGCAACATAAATTAACATACTAACAATGAACTGTATTTTCAATACCTAACATGAAGAAATACTGTAGTAAATGTATTGTTCATTGTTTGTTCATGTTAGTAAATGCATTACCTAATACAACCTTACTGTTAAATGTTACCAATACTTTATTACAGTTTTATTTGCAACTACTAGGATCTAGTTCTCAAAACTCTTCACACTTTTTCTAACCTTCTTTAAGTTTGGCACATTAGCGCTTTTACATTCAAAATTCACTAAAACTAACAAAACATTTCATATACTGTAACCTTCAAATCAATTGATACATTATAAAATTACCCTAAAAACCTTGGCAACATTATTCTTTTTTTTTCTTGTTCACAAAACAAAAATGACACACTCTACTGTTTAGATTTCACCTAAAAAAATAAATAAATAAATAAAATACAAGTGACATCAATAATATGGTTCATGTTTCCAGCTCACAAATACATTCAATAACCTGGATTTTAAAAATATCCAAGTATCACAAGTTTCTCATAAAATGAAAATTCAATTTATCTCTTTGACGTAATCTTAAGGCTGACCACTTTTCATCAATTGGGGTTAAATCTATAATACAGTTGGTCTGGGAATCAATAAACAAACCCTTCTGATCTTTCTTTTGAACTTTAAAGCAATTATGTTCAGTACTGAGGGAATAACATTAAAATTAAGCTTTTATTTCATTATGGGCAAAATATATTGTCAAGAAAGAATCTTTCAAATACAGTGTGTACAATAAATATATATATCTTTTTTTCATATGTATACAATATACAGTGCTCAGCATATAGAAGTACACCCCTCACAAATCTATCTTTTAAATTAATGTTTTTAATAGGAAGCTGTACAATAATATATTGGTGCATATACATTAGATTAGTCAGTACTGAAGCCAAATCTGGAGCTTACCAAACAAATAAGTTACGATAATAATCCATAAACTAGTTCACCCAAATTTATGTTATAGAAAAATATTAAATACAAATAAAAAGAGGAAAAATCAAGTGAAGCAAAAAAAACAAAAAAAAAATTTAGTTGAAATTTTGTTGGATGTAATTTTTTAGCAATGTTATGCTTGAATTTAATTGTATTATCTTTCAGTTTCTAAATATGTTTGTTGACTAAAATATTATTTTATAAATATATCTGTTTAATAAATCTGTTTTGTTTAAATGCACCAAAATACATTGCCCATATTCACTGAGAAATGGATAAAGATATTAATTTTCAAGATGGGGTGTACTCAATTATGTTGAGCACTGTATCTTTTAATAGAATCATGTCTTGAAAAGGGCATTGCCTCATGTGTTTTTAAATCACCTGAAATTTTGATTACTATACTTTGGCAAAATAAAGTATATAGTATTGCTTGTCCAAACATTGGAACATTAAATATTGTTGTCAAGAATGAACATCAAATAATTACAGCATGCATTTGCTGTGGCAATGTTATACCATTTTTTCCTGTCTAGACTTGCATTAGTTTTTCGCCAAGATTTTGTAATGATGATAGGAGAGTCAGAACACTAAGCAAAATCTCCTCCAGCACATCTAAATGAGTCTAAATAGGGTTAAGGTCTGGACTCTGTGGTGGCCAATCCATGTATAAAATGGACAGCTCATGCTCCCTAAACCAATCTTTCACTTAACATCTTGAATATGCCTGTGTCTATAGCTATGTTTCCATCCAAAAATGCAAATAAACTTTATGTGCAAAACTCGATTGTCGCATAAAAGTTGTGCGAATGAAGCATCGTTTCCATCCAACGAGTCAAAGCGAACAAAATCGTCACTTCCTGATTAACTGGCGGCAAATATCAACAGTAAAAACTGCATTTGCTCCAATAGGAGAAGCTGCATCAATCTTTTCTTAATGAATGCGATCCTGACAAGCAGTGAGCGCACAGTGGCGTTTGAAGGTGTCAGACGTGGAGCACAGGCGCTCTTGATTCTGGAGGTCATTAATAATATAATAACATTAATACTGAAATGGTTAGGCGTTTTATAATGACCAAAACAACATTTCAGATGTTTTATAATGTGCTCAGCCTGACGTTTTATCCATTCACACACATTTTAAGCATCACATGATCTCTTTCAACAAAATCACATGACCTTTTTTAATGCGCATGCTGGAGTTTGTGCGGTAAAAGTGTTTCCATCGCAGTTTATGCGCATCTTTTCTTATCGAATAAAAAGTTTATCCTACCCAGTTAGGTGCATAAGTTTTTTATGCCCATTTTCAAAATTTATGCGCATCATGGCGTTTCCATCAACTGTTTTTTTAAGCACATTTGCAAAATGCGCATAAAATAGGTGGATGGAAACATAGCTATTGAGGAAGAAAAATAAATCATTGATGGAATAAACTGGTCATTCAGTTAACCTTATTATTTGGCCATAATATTACTGAGCCTATCGACCTGACCAACTGCAGCATCCCAAGATCACAGCACTGACCCCATAGGCTTGTATTATAGGCATCAGACATCACTTCATCCATTTCTCTTCTTACCCTAATGCGCCTAAATCTGGACTCATCAGACCACATGGCCTTCTTCCATTGCCAATCTTTATCCAATCTTTATGCTTCTTGCAAATTCGCTTCTTTTTCTGATTAGCCTCATTGATAAAGGATTTTCTTAATATTACACAGCTTTTTAGTCCTAATCCCTATAGTCCCCTTCAGATTTTGCATATGGAAATAATGCTGTTACTTTCACTACTAAACAAAGCCATGAGTTTTACTGTTTTTATGATTTGATTTCACCAGATGTTTAGGTGTTTAAGCTTACTTGCAGCAGTTTGTGTATGATTTTGGTTTTGTGTTAAACTGGGACAATTCTGTCCACAATTCTGTCTACCCACACCAATGTTATACACACCGTGTGAAGAATTTGAAAACAAATGAGTCTTTGACGTTCATGCTTAGTTTTTGGCTAGATACAGATAAATCCACCATGAAGTCATGCCTCATTTCAGCAAAATTGCACAACCGGCTGTTTCTTTAACTCTTAGGTTTCAGATATGGAGTTTCTCGAGGTATTAACTGAGGGGCTAGAACGAGTGCTGCTTGTAAGAGGTGGAGGTCGTGAGGTCATCACCATCTACTCTTAAAAGGCCAAAGGTCAACAAATGAACCACTCTTACTACGTGTTGTTGCTGTAAACTATAGTGGAAAGCTGTATTTAAAAAAATTGCAAACTATACCAGCCTAAATTTTATGGATTTTGTTTTTTTAATTAAAGTGCACTATTTGATAAAAGAATTACACTCTAAATCAGGGGTGCCCAAAATCGGTCCTGGAGGGCCGGTATCCAGCAAAGTTTAGTTCCAACCCCAATCAGACACACCTGGGCTAGCTATTAAGCCCTTTCTAGGTTTTCTAGAAACATCTATGCAGGTGTGTTGCGGCAAGTTGGAGCTAAAATCTGTAGGACACCGGCCCTCCAGGACCAAGCTTGGGCATCCCTGCACTAAATACTTCACTGGCATGTTTGAGCTGTGTCAGATTATGAACTTACCAACGCACACCATAACAATGAGAATCACATTGGAATTTTTACCATGTTTACAACACAAAATAGATGAGGATTCCAGCAACAACAAGTCTTACGTTCAATATGGTGTTGACAAAATCCCCTTTTGCTGCCAGTGGTGAACAGATACCACGTTAAGAAAAAACATATCTTTGTAATATATACAATAACATGCACATCATTTTCTGTATATTATGATTAAATTTAAAAGAGCACACATGATTATAATGACTTCTGAAAGCCAAGTAACAATCTAATGCTTTCTGATCAAATCTAATACTGTAAATCTGGACACAAACTAGTATTTCCATTTGAGTGTTTTTATTTATTTTGTCTTCAATATTTATTTGTAGGATCTCCCCCATTGTATTTAAAGTAAGTTCGCATTTTAAAAGAACCAAAGGAGCTAGAATGGGATGGATATTTGGATATAAATAGTTTTTATTTTGTCAGGGTTTGTCAGTTATAACTGCATTGTATCACTTTTATAAGATAACAGAGATTATTTGTAAATGAACAAATCATTTTCAACGTTTTATTATTCTAGACAACACAACTCACATTGAGAAGCAGACATTTTGGATGTGAATAGATAAAGTCTTTATTCTTTTTCTAGGGTATGATTACTGTACAGAAATATATACATTTGTTATACAAATAGAAAAATATACAGAAGGATGTGCTGACTAACAACATTTATATCTGTAATATAAGGGCAGTTATTTGTTAATGGTTGTATTTCATCTGTACAGTGTTACATGTTGAAGAGGAAGATTAAACACTTCATATAACATGCAGTTTTCTTTCAATCATTCATTCATTCTGCGTAGTCTCTATCTTCACCACAGCGGAATGAACCGCCAACTATTCCGGCATATGTTTTACGCAGTGGATGCCCTTTCAGCGGCAACATGTACTAGGAAATACCCATATACACTACAGCCAATTTAGCTTATTCAATTCACCTATAGCGCATGTCTTTGGACTGTGGGGGAAACTGGAGCACCCAGAAGAAACCCACGCCAACATAAGGAAAACATGCGAACTCCAAACAGAAATTCCAACTAGCTCAGCTAGGACTCGAACCAGCAGCCTTCTTGCTGTAAAGCGACAGTGCTAACCACTGAGCTAATGTGCTGCTAGGTTTTTTAATATAATATAAAATATATATTTATATATTTAAAAAAATATATGGAATAAAATGTTTCAATAAAGTGTACTACAAATTGCAAAATGTTTTATATGATCTTATTTTGACAAAGAAATAAGCTAGCAATTATAAAAGTATTTTTTTCCTTCTATAATAAATGAATAAAGCATAATTGCAACAAATATATAATCTACAGATATGTATATACTGTCACTCTAGTGCTCTCTGTTTTTATTCCTTTACATAAAGTGATCTGCACTGGCAATACATTTTAAGACACTATTATATGTATCAATTTCAGAAAATGTCTTAAATGTAATTGTTTAGGCTTCAGTCAGCAAGTTTACTTTAAATGCTGGTCTCGAGATTAATTAGCAAAGTAGTCTGTAGTAAAACATCAGTTGTATACAGTCTCCATTTGATTTGATGTAATATTAGATTGACTGGATCAAAAATAAGATGAACCAGGCAAAAGCTCCTGCAGGCATCGTCTGGGGAGCATTTCCATTTTTAACCATTTTGCTGACTTTGGTTGGATGGATGAGCATCGCACGACAGCTGTTGTTTGCTTCCAGAAACGGGATTTCAACTTCACTGGGAGAAGTGTCCAACATATCATCACGTATCTGAACATGAGAAAAATAATTCAAATAAACCCACATGAGCTCTGACCAGACCAATTATTTCAGCACACACATCCTAAAAGTGACGTAAATCAAACAAGAAGGCAAGCTTTTCTTGAGAATTTTTAGGAGTGAGAGGAATGGAAGAGTTTATAATAGAATATGAATAATACCTGCATGGGTTTTCCAATCCAAACTATGTTAAGATAAAATCTCTTTAGTGCGGCGAATGACATTTGGGGGAACTTTATCACACCTTATCAAGTACAGCATGGGAATCTGGCATATGTATATCAATCTATACTGTCTGCGCTTTAGAGTGGTTGAGTGAAAAGGAGGTATGTTGGGTAATAAATAGGCCCACACAGAATTTGCGAGCAGAAATCCGCAGATTTTTAGATCATCGTGTATTTAACTCCCAAAATAATTCTGCATAAATCCGCAAAATGTTTACAAAACTCTTAGCAGAAGTAGCAAAAAAATGTCTGCAGTTTCTGTCTGGCCCTAGTAATAAGACAGATCAGATATTGTATATTTGCATCCACTACTTAATATATTTATTATCTGTTTTTTGTCCTGCCTTTGTAATTCTGTTGCATTGTAGAAGCTCTGTCACGAAAACAAATTCCTAGTATGTGTGAACATACCTGGCAATAAAGCTCTTTCTGATTCTAATTCTGATATGCAAGGCTTTTAGGTGCTTTTATTAGAGGTTGTAATAAGAATTTCAGATTCCAAGGAGAAGTCAGAAAAAAAGTTGAAGATAAGACAATATGTGCTTTTCTTTAGATGTATTAAGTGTAAGACTATCACACTTAATTGGGGTTACAGAGGTCAGGACAGAGAGTCCATAGAAGTTTCAAAGAAAATTAAAGGAACTGGAAGGAATTGTCCCTGCAAATGTCAGTATTGTTGTACAAAAAAAGGAAGAGGCTGTGGAATAAGATAATTTAAGCATGTGTGTGAGAAGGTTTAGACAATAATGCATCACAGCTGTCTTTTGGAGTCTGAAAACATTTAAAGAGAGTAGTCCATGATGTGAAATGTTTGCTCCATATACAGAAAATAGATTCAACAGGTGAGAACAATAACAGGTGTTTTATGAGAACAAATAAATGCTTGTTAACTAGGACAGGACAATTTTTTTAGGTAAGTTTAAAAAAAAAAGTGCTAAAAAAAATAATAGAAAATGTTACAAATACAAATGTTCCAATGATAAAAATGGAAAAAGAGGGAAAAATGCATCCATGCACTGGGGGCCCACAATCAGCAACTATATCTTGCAAAACCAAAAAAAAAAAAGAAAAAAAAAAAATATATATATATATATATATATATATATATATATATATATATATATATATATATATATATCAGACACACACACACATACAACTGCTACAGACGGTAAGGTCATTTCCAGTAAGGTATAAGAATGCATGGGACACAACTTTTCACAAAAATAAATAAATACAGTAGATAGTCTACAAACTGTTTCTCAAGTTAAAAGTACAGAAGGTGATTGTCTTCATAAACAATGTTTTGTTATGCTGGTAGAAAGTCTCTTCTCATTCCAAAAGTAATGATTAAAGTAAATTATTTAATTAGTTAATTATTTAAATTATTAATTATTATAAATTATTCTGTTCATTAACAAAACATCAGTAAATAGCGCTATTCCGCCTAGCTTACTTTGCAGAAGTTGGTTTTATATACACATCACATTGGTTCATTTTTGAACAATGACAACCTGTGACGCAATCCCTATATTGTTTACCATGCTACTTTGAATATTCGGCCCGAAATAGCATGTAAGTAATAAGTGTAATTCCTGCACGCCGCCGGCCATCCACTAAGCATACAGTAGTCGGTTCAGGACACATCATGTGGGAGAGTGAGACCAGCAATCCTTGCATGCATGAAATATTGCACATTAAGACAGGTTTTGCTTGCTACACAACTGAAAACAGCTAGATATAATACATTTTTTTTGTTTGGAATTGTAGTATAATAAAGAACTATAAAGTTTTAAAACTGGCGAATGACATGATAGTGGCTCTCTGTCATCTTTAATGATTTTGTTATTTCAGGAGGCCTGGCTTTGGGAGATAGGGGAGCAGGGGAGATACAGTGTTTTAAACATATTATGCTAACCTGTCAACATTTAGGCAGATCACCTACTGCACTTTCAAAATGTTTTATGTAATTATTTGGTTATTGTCACTGTATGAAATGAATCAAAAACTGTAATGCCGTCTTTGTGTGCACCATGATGGCATACCCGATTAATAAGCACATTGATTACTTACAAAACTCAAGAAATTAATTTATTTATTCATTTTCTTTTCAGCTTAGTCCATTTATTAATCTGGGGTCACCAAAGTAGAATGAACTGCCAACTTATCCAGCACATGTTTTTTACGCAGTGGATGCCCTTCCGGCTGCAACTCATCACTGGCACCCATACACTCTCATTCACACTCATACACTACGAACAAATTTAGCTTACCCAATTCACCTATAGCGCATGTTTTTGGACTTGTGTGGGAAACCGGAGCACCCGAAGGAAACCCAAGTGAACGCAGGGAAAACATGCAAACTCCACACAGTAATGCCATCTGACCGAGCCGAGGCTCGAACCAGCGACCTTCTTGCTGTGAGGCGACAACACTACCTACTGCGCCATCGTGTCACCAACTAAACAAATTTGATTATTAAATAAAAAAAATTAATTGTTTTTAGAAAGTTGCATTCAACATGTTTAAAAACTGAGCTGAAAAAGAATTTGTTTTTGTTTTTACTATGTATTAATCAACCAAGGAAGGACCACAATTTGCAACTTATTTTATGTTCTGCTGAAGAAAACACTTACAGTTAGTCAGAATTATTAGCCCCCTGAATAATTAGACCGCTTGTTTATTTTTTCCAGAGTTTCTGTTTAACGGAGAGAAGATTATTTCAACACATTTCTAAACATAATAGTTTTAATAACTCATTTCTAATAACTGATTTATTTTATCTTTGTCAGGATGACAGTAAATAATATTTTACTAGATATTTTTCAAGACACTTTTATACAGCTTAAAGTGACATTTAAAAGGCTTAACTAGGTTAATTAGGTTAACTAGGCAGGTTAGGGTAATTAGGCAAGTTATTGTATAACGATGGTTTGTTCTGTAGACTATGGAGAAAAATATAGCTAAAAGGGGCTAAGAATTTTGTCCCTAAAATGTTTTTTAAAAAATGTTATAACTGCATACTGTGACCATTTCCTTGCTCTGTTAAACATCATTTGTGAAATATTTAAAAAAGAAGAAAAAAATTCAAAGGGGGCTAATAATTCTGACTTTAACTGTATATCTTCAGATGGAGTAAACTTTTCGTTTTGAAGTAAATAACATAAAGAATTAGTCTGACCAACTAGGAGTTATCCAGAATGAAGTCAGTCTTAATTTTAAGCTGAGAAATTAACTTTTATATAAAAATTCTAAATCATTATTCTGAATCATTTAAATGGTCTAAAATTAATTAAAAAAACTGAAAAACATTTTTTTTTTGCCATACCACCTAACCGTAACATTAACTAAATATTTACTATGTTGAAATAAGAGTTCACCAAAAATGAAACTTTTTGTTATCATTTCCAATGAAGTTCTAAACCAGTTTGACTTTCTTTTTTCTGCAGAACACAGAAAAATATATATTTTGCAGAATATTGGAAACCTGTGATTTCCATAGTAATTGTTTTCCTACAATGGAGGTCAATAGTAAAAACGGGGTTTTTAGCTTTGTTCAAAAAGTCTTCTTTAGTGTTCAACAGAATAAAGAAAACAGTATAAAGATTTAGAACCACTTGAGGGAGAGCAAATAGTGAGTAAACTTTCATTTTTGGACAAACTATCCCTTTAAGAGTGGGTCGGTGCTGTATTTCACTTGATCCACTGACAAAAAAACAATTCAAAGATGATTTCTTTGATTTAATACAGGTAAGTGGTTGTGAACAATTTATTTGGTTGAATTTAAAAAAAACTAATTAAGGTAAACATTACTAAATTAAATTTATTTAAATTCAACCCATATAAATTGTTTGCAACAATTTAGCAAAAATCTTTTTTTTTTTTTCAGTGTACTTGAACTGGCCTAACCGAACAGGGAAATGAGCACAAGTGATTATTTCCTTACCTTTTCAACCATCTCAAATACTTTGAGGAAGTTGAGTCTCAGCACCCCAGCCAACTCTTGCTCAGTCCAGTTCCTTGCTATCAGCTCCTCAATTAGTGCAGGGTATTTAGAGACATCCTCTAGGCCTTCAGGGAATCTGTAATAACAGAAGGACGTCAACACGCGTGCACAAACACAGATAAGATGAACAGAAGATTCCACAAGCATGAATATGGGGTTCTTGCATTTGCTTTGACAAAAGTAGACAGAATGCCTTTGCTGTTTCTACCTGCAGCACTGAGACTGATTATCCTTTGCTCTTAAGGACTAAGATTTTATTTCATCTCATTTCCTAAGCAAAGTTGCTGATGCCGAATTGGACACCAAACTGCCATTATATATTACCGGTCTTAACATTGCACAGTAAACTATTGTCAATGATTGTTCACTTGTACCCGAATACCCCCATGACATTTGTCTATTACTTTAGGCATAATTTCCAACCATATTCCAAGCACCAACCATTTTCTTAATCATAAATAAATTTTCTGTTCTGATCTCAAGCTTAGGCAAAAAACTGAGAAAGTACCAATTAGAGGCCCCATTTTAATTATGTCATGTACTGTAGACTTAGTATTTTGATGCAAAATATAAAACTATTTTCATCAGCCCTATCAAATACAAATGGCAAAATACTGTACTATAATAATTTTGTAGGTGACGCAGTGGTGCAGTAGGTAGGGCTGTCGCCTCATAGCAAGAAGGTCACTGGTTCGAGCCTCGGCTGGGTCAGCTGGCATTTCTGTGTGGAGTTTGCATGTTCTCCCTGCGTTCACGTGGGTTTCCTCTCCTCTGTGTGCTCCGGTTTCCCCCACAGTCCAAAGACGTGGTACAGGTGAATTAGGTAGGCTAAAATTGTCTGTAGTGTATGAGTGTGAATGAATGTGTGTAGATGTTTCCCGGAGATGGGATGTGGCTGGAAGAGCATCCGCTGCGTAAAAAACATGCTAGATAAGTTGGCGGTTCATTCTGCTGTGGAGATGCCAGGTTAATAAAGGGACTAAGCCAAAAAGAAAATGAATGAATAAATAATAATTTTGTATTTGAAATGCATGTGCAATAAATACTGCCTATCCCTGCTATTGTGCATGAACAAAACGCATACATAATAATAGACGAGATGTACTGTAAATGAGATGATCACTTGCCCTTGAGCTCCGTCATAGTCTGCTCCGATCCCAATGCTTTCAGCTCCAATAACCCGCTTTATATGATCAAAGTGATCTAAAACCAACATTTTTAATTAAACAAATCTATAAAATAAATCAAATAAAAAATATGTCTGATCTCTTACCAGCCACAATAGACACGTTTGCTTTGTTACTTGAACATGCTATGAAATTGTTGTATAAGTTCACCATGATAAGCCCGCCGTTTCTTTTCTACAAAAGAAAACAGTTTCTGTTTAGTCAGATAAAAATTTTACATGACTTTACATTTTTTATTGGAAAAATGCAAGTTGTGGCTGCCATTTTGTAAACTATGTCTAATGTAGTATCTCACCAGTAGCAGCAGCAGGTCGTCAGGTACATTGCGAACATTGTTACAGACAGCATAGGCTGAGGAGTGGCTGAAAATTACTGGAGCGGCTGTATGTTTCAGCACTGCTCTGGCTGTCTCCCAAGAACTATGAGACAGATCAACCAGCATTCCCAATCGGTTCATCTCATGCACCACTTCCTGCAGAGAGCGGACAAAATATAAAGATTACATTCTGATTCGTTCAGTTAAATGTAACACACACTGTAAAAAAATATATTTATATAATGATTACATTCATTCCTTCACTTCAATTCATTTGTTCACACACACTGTAAAAAATGCTGGGTTCCACATAATCGATTTGGGTTAGGACAACATGAAGGAGTTAAGTTAACATTCGTAGTTGTTGTTGTTTTGTTTTGTTTTTTTTTAACAAATTTAAGTAAATTGAACATGAAGCAATTAAGTTGTCCCCAAAAAACTCAAGAACTCTGTGGTTTCAGCTTATTCTATATCAGTTGTTTGAACAAATGTTTTTATTTATGAGTGTGGAAATTGGAAATTGATTTTTAATCATTGGCACAATTAACTCTGTTATTTAACCTCTCATTTCTGATATTTGTGACTATTTCATAAACCAAGGAAGTGCACCATTACTGTTTTTTTTATTCTGGTGGATTCTGGTTTTGAAGGATGTGCAGAATTGTTTCCTCATGTACTGCAACTGTACATAATTCATGTAACATAATGGGTTCATTGTTCACAGCATTGTAGTTATATGTTCACAGAAAACAGACATCTTTCATGTCATGGCAGTGTACCAAATCTTTGCTTCTGAGCTAGTTTTATTATCAAGATGTATTTTCTTTTGTTTAAAAAGATCATACTAACAAATTAAGCCACATACAGGTAAATAGAATAAAATAAAAGAATGCAAAACGGTATACAGCTAACTATTAAACTATTCTGAGCAACCCAGTGCTAGGAAACACCCATACACTCTCTCATGCACACACACTCATACACTATAGCCAATTCACCTATAGCGCATGTCTTTTGAACTGTGGGGGAAACCGGAGCACCCGGAGAAAACCCACGCCAACATGGGAAGAATAAGTAATCTCCACACAGAAATGCCAACTAAGCCAGCAGAGACTCGAACCAGTGACCTTCTTGCTTTGAGGTGACAGTGCTAACCACTGAGCCACCGTGCCACTCCCAATAGAAACACTTGACTTTAAATCAAAGTTTTCTTTTGTATTTTAATTTATTCTCTGTGGAAACTAATGTTTAGAAAATCTATTCTAGAATTACAAACAACGACAAAAGCAACAATCTTTGTAGAGATGACCTTACTGATCTAGGAGAGTTATTTATTGTCAAAAGACTGGAAAGATATTTTGGATGTGATCAAGTCTCAGTGTCAGTCAAAGAAAAAAAAAAATCAACAGTCAACTCTTATTTTTAATTTATATTTTATTTATCGATCACTAATAAATCACTTTTTGATAGCAATTTATTCATCCACACATTTTTTTATTAAATAGTCTCATATATTCTATGATAGAAATAATAAGAAATGTACATTCAGTTATATAATTAAATATTGTTTAGCCATATTAAATTTGATTCAAGAGTTTACACTTAGCTGATGATTGATTATAGAGCTTGTTTGGCATGCTAATAAACAGATAGTGATTGCTCTAAAGAAATAACTACTTACTAGGAGCATGTCTATGGTTGGATTAGTTAATTAAATTAAGTTGCATGTTTTTGGACAGTGGGAGGAAACAAGGGAACCCATAGGGAAACCGATGTAAGCACGGGGAGAACTTAAAAACTATGCACAGAAACGTTGGCTGACTTGGTAAGGACTAGAGCCAGTGATGTTCTTGCTGTGAGGCACAGTGCTAACCACTGGGCCACCCAACTAGGAAAGTAGAAGGAGTAGGGGTGGAAGGGCGGATTCTTCAAAACAAAGATTGCTGTTATATGGTAGGGTATTTATAGTGGCTTAGGAATCGTCTGATTGGTGAATCATAAATTGAATAATGAGGGACTGGCTGCAAGCAATCATAAGCATGTGATCCTCTCGAAATTAGTTTAAAAAATAAACTTCACTTTTTGTTATTGCAATATTATTGTATGCCAGTGTTCTTTTTTTTTAGAGTGTAAGCAGGGTCTCAAGTCCTGGGTGTAGTCATAATGAGTGTGGGTTCTTAGAATGCAAATTATTTATGTTTTTTCTGCATAATGGATGCATTTCTTAATAAGATTTTATTTGAGGTTGTATTTTATTTCTCACTAAACTGGGTAAAAGTATGTTCACCTTTACTGGGAGAACATGCAAACTCTACACAGAAACGCCAACTGACCCAGGAGAGGCTTAAACCAGCTACCCTCTTGCTATGAGGCGACAGCACTACCTACTGCGCCACTGTGTCGCCCCATTCTAAATCAATAAAACAGATATTTGCTATCACCATTTTATTCCTGTTTATGCAAAGCACTTTGAATTACCATTGTGTATGATATGTGCTGTATAAATGAACTTGCCATTTGTATGTTTGGATCTGTCAGAAATTGTAACTCAAGTCAAATAAATACAAAAATTCCATACAAAAAATGCAAAACTCCCAGATTTTGTTTTGCTTAAGCAAAAAGAAAACAGATTTGAACTTCCAGTAATTCCAGCCTTGGGGTTCAAAACTGAGACACAAGAAAGTGGTTTCCAAATATAGAAGTGGATGAAGGAAGAGGACAAATAATTCCCTAAATATAACTGTACTTCTTTCAACTTTATTGGTTCATTAACCTTTATCTTTCAGTGCGGTCTGTTTTGTTTTACATAGTTTTATTTACCATCAATCCATCCAGAAAGAATATTACCTTGCCAAATTCTGTCAGGCTGTTGTTCACCCACTGGTAATGTTGATAAAAACTAGATGAGCTCTTTGCCCTATGTGTGACATCATTAGAGAAATGGTAAGTATTGATCTAAATGGCAGTATGTCTAAATGACAGTAATTTGTTTGGTATGTTGAGTATTTACCACGGTGTGTTGCAGGTGTGTGTGAGACTCATGGATCTCACGCCGAGCTGGTAAAACATGCGTAGAGCTGCTAAACTGCTGTCAATGGAGTGGCCTCCCTCCACACTGATTAGACATGCAATTTTTGTACTCTTCTTCATTCCTAAAATGCATAACAAGACAAAACAAAACAGATGAAACAAACAAATAAATAGAAAAACATGTATTTTCTTACACACACTATGTAGAAAAAGCACAATGTAGAAAAGTGTTTTTATATAATCCTATACATGACAATTTGGTTTATCCGATTTTACCTATAGCATGTTTTTGTACTGTGGGGGAAATGGGAGCACCTGGAGGAAACCCAAGCCAACATGGGGAGAACATGCAAAATCCACACAGAAATGCCTACTGACCCAGCCAGAACTTGAACCAGTGACCTTCTTGCTGTGAGGCGATAGTGTTAACCACTGAGCCACTGTGCCTCATGAGTGATATTATATAAAAGTGATTCCCATCATGGTTCCCAGAGATGGGTTGCGGCTGAAAGGGCATCCGCTGCGTAAAAATGTGCTGGATAAGTTGGAGGTTCATTCCGTGGTGGCGACCCCGGTGGCGATTAATAAAGTGACTAAGCCGACAAGAAAATGAGTGATTCCCATCATTCTGCATTTACCTTGTTTTAGAAACTTTCCGGTAAACACTTATAAAACATCCCTGAGCAAACATACTTAGAATGAGATGTAAAGAATGGAGGAGAAAAAGAACAGATATTCCTAACCCTTTATCGGGGGTCTCTGCGCTGGTTGGGGAAAATTTCAATTGGCTTAAGATTGGCAAGCAAAATGTGTGACATTGCAACCTGCAGAACCTGGGAACTTTATAAATAAGTTATTTAGTTTACTTTTAGTTACTTTATTTAGTTACTTTATAACTTTTTATTTATAAATAAATGAAAGTAACAAGAAATTAAAAATGCAGTGGATAAAAAAAAAACTATCAAGTACCAAGTGTTACCTGACATCTAAAAATGACAGATAATTGAGTCAAACTGAGATGAGAATTATCAGTAGCACAACCTTATTATTTAAAGGTGCAGTAGGTGATCTGCCATTAGTATAATATCTTTGAAACACAGTCCCTCCCCTGCTGTCCAAAGCTACAGTACGCCTCCTAAAATCATGAACACCTACCTTAAAGATAACAGTAGACAATCCACTAGATCATGTCATTCAAAGTAGCATGGTAAACAATATAGGGAGCGTGTCACAGGTTGTCATTGCTCAAAAATAAACCAATGTGAATATAAAACTAACTTCAGCTCAGTAAAGCAGGCTAGGCGGAACAGCACTATTTATGTTTTGTTGCTAAACTAAATAATAATCTACTACAATATCGATGCTGTACAAGGTTCCTTATATTCATTTATTTGTTTATTGTTTTGATTCCGCATTTGTTTTTACCGGTCACTCTCTCTCTCGTGTGCATTTCATGAACGCACATGTATACGTGCGGCGGATCTTAGTGAATGGGTGCACAGATGTACAAATCAACATTTGTTGACAGACAGTTTGGGCAACTTATCAGAATGATGAGAACTGTCGGCCTGACAATATATTTTTGTCTTATGCCTTACCCAGAATATAAAAAATACATACAGTTTAAATACATTTAGATTAATTACTTTAATCAGTACTATCAAAATGTGAAGAGACTTTCAAGCCCAAGCATAACAAAAACTGTTTCTGAAGACAATCACCTATTGCACCTTTAAGACACTTTAAACTTAAAAACATAGTAGGCGTGTTAGGAAACAGATGGATAGTTTGTTGTAAACATGCATGTACTGAATATGGTTCAAGAATTCCCTAAATGTTACTGGGACAGATTCTGTCAGAAGGATAGTAACACCTACTATTAATCTAGTACACCTAATGTTAATCTAACATCCACTTTATGCACTTCCATTCGAATGAAAATGGAAACAATTGAAATAAATTATTATTAAATTAATTAAAACATTATTATTATTATATTGTAAGAATCACGTGACACAGAAGACTGAAGTAAGAGATGTTAATAAATGTAAAAAACGTTTTGCAATGTTTCATATGGCCTTCATTGGTTTGACATGTTATGCGATAATATCTTTAGGCAGGTCTCTATGAGATTGCAAGTGGTCTATTCTCGTTTCTCTTATTCAAGTGCAGGCAAGAATTTAGTAAATTGCTCTGGATATAATTTACTACTTCCTTTCCAGATAGTGACGTCTGTTGTCTATTGTGCTGTAACATTGAAGGGACCTTTTATATCATTTTCATTGTGTATAAACTAAATAACATTATATGGACAGTTCACCCCCCTAAAACAAAAGCTCTTGTAAAGTTGTGAGTGGACAGTAATGTTCATAAAAGTGGAAGTTTAAGAAAACAGTACTCTGTAGAGCTCAAAGTGAAAATATGTTGGTTAAGTGAAAGTTTGGGAGCAAAATACCTTCAGAAGTGGTGACCAGTTCCAACTCTGGTTTTTCAGTACACATACGACGAATGACATCAATCTGTTCCAAGGTCAATCTGACAGCATCTTTGTCCTGAGCAGTGCACAACACGTATGCTGAAAAAACCTGACAAATACGAAAGGTTTAAGTCATAAAATAAAGCTTTACAGTCATAAAATAATTTTAAAAAGCTAAATAACCTCTTGCATTTATGCTTCAACTGTTGAAGGGATCATTTTTGAGGAAGATTGTTATTACAATTTCATTTTAGCCTTTCAGCAAAAATAACAAAACTAGAGTAAAATTACTTCAACTTTTTTTAAAACAATACAATTTTGATGATTGTAAGAAAGTTACCAACCCTACTTCTCAGATTATGTCTAACTATATCTATAGAGGGAAACTAAACTGCAGTTGCTCTGCTCAGTCATATGATATAGCCTACTCTATATTAAGCTGCCTTAAGTGCTATAAACTATGTACTTACATTTGAATTAATAATTTAGTACAATGCACTTATTATGTACATTCATGTTTTATTATTGCGCTTAATTTCTGTAATTACACTGTTTACACCCTCCCTTACACCTTAACCCACCTATAAACTTACCAATTCCACCAAACCAAAGCGTACCTCTTTTCAACCACAACATTATCATAACTGTTGTGCAATACAATATGAACACAATACGTACTTTATATGTATTCTTTGATGTAAGTACATAGTAGTTAAGACTACTTTATATAAATTGGGACTCATTCACTTATTTGGGATCTGATTCATTTACTTATTTATTCTATATTATTTCTATATTATTTGTTATATATTATCTTAAGAGGCCTTTCTGCCATTTACATACAGTATATTGGGTACTACTGCATTTGTGTCAGGGATTGCCAGGGATTTTTGTTTTACAGTTGTATATCTTCACTTATTTATGGTAACTATTTGAAAATTTCCTTTTTTAATCTTAACAATAAATATTCTTTAAGTCTATTAAGAGAGCTGTCACATTTCAAATATCTATTTATTTAGTAACATAACTCTGAGAGATATAATGGTCTTTAATTATTTTTCTTGGGGGGTGTTTAAAAAAGATTTTATTCTTATTGCTCTTATTGTTAACTCTTTATTTTATATTGCTGTGCATATTAAGCTAAATTAAAAAAGCATTAACAGCACTATTTTTAATATGCTGTTTCAGTTTTATCTTATTGGTCTACTACCACAATTTCAGATAAAAACAAATATAGGCTATGACCTTTGTGAGTTTGAAATTGGTTTAACTCGCAAATAATAGTTAGAAGCAGGTCACGCTACTGAATATTTTAAAAACATAAATCAGAATCAGGATAAAGTAGGAGAATTTACCTGACCTCCAACATGGCCAGCAATGAGGCGAGTGATATCTGTAGCCCCCTGAGGATAATTGTAGAGATTAACCTTTGTTAGTTTGTTGTCATCATGTTTTCTCAAGTGTAGTGCCCAGTCATTGTGTCTGACAAAAGAGAAAAAGAAGCATAGGAAATCACAATAAATCACTTTTTATACATTTTTACTTTTTTAAAAAAAATGTTGCCAATTACTACTTTATTCTGAAGTTATTTGCAATTAATTATTTTCAGAAAGCCATACAGTGAAAAGTGTGTCCTACCCATCAATTAGTGGATATTTTGTCATCATATCCAGGGCTCTACTGGTTTCCGATATGACTCCATGAAGAAGTGAGAGACTGATGCATATGAACCACTGTAGCCATGCCCCACTGATGCCTGCTTCTTTATGTATTAACATTCTATGTCATGAAGAATTTGACTTCAAATATGCAGAATTTACCAGCAACTAGCATGCCCATGAAAAATGTTTAAAATAAATATAATGGGCTACTTGCATCAGATTTCTTTGTGTAAATAGCTGTTTAAGGATTCATGTTGTCATAAGTGCTGTTTTCAAAAGTATGATTTTTTCTGTAACAAAAGTTAGAGAGAGAAAAAATAATAATAAATAAATAAATGAATGAAAAAGTAAATAAATAAACTTTCTGTTTATTATTATTGCTGTAATTGTTATTTTTACCGTAAAAGATTTTCATCAAACTCACAGACCACATATAAAATCACTTATTTATATGCAGACTAATATCTGTTGTATCTTTTCCATGTTTTAAAGTGAAATTTATGGAACATGTAGAGCTTAAAAACGTTAGAGTAGACCCAGTACTCTAATTTAAATGTCATACTCTCTAAAACATATTTTACTCCACTATTTAAGTCACGTGCTTCGAGTGAGCGTGTATCCAGTATATATTTTGTTCAAACACCAGACACAATATAAATTCGTATTTATAGTACATACTGTCTTTACAAAATGTAACCCACCATAAGCTGGATGAGTAACGATATAAAGTCGTCCCAACCTCTCACACTCCGCTATGTCAAACATAACAAAAACGTCTGAAACGTCTTGTAAAATATATTATAAGTACAGCTGTAACTTACCGTGTCTGGAAGAAGACTGGTGTAATGTACTCATGGACGTGAAGAGGTTCACATTCTGTTTTTCTGTGCGGAAATTTAAGATGCCAATGTGTTTTACAAGCATTATGTCTTAGTTTAAATGCTCTCGGAGAAACGTCGCCCCCTTCTGTTGACTGCGATTGACTGGACTGCACCTTTTTAAGGCACAGACTTTTTTCATATTCTGACTTAGTGATGTCAACAAGATTGAGTATGTACTTAGTGAAGACAAAAATAAAAGAAGGGCCTGATAAAAAGGAAGTCTTTGGAGGTTTGTATGGGATCCACATATTCTCAAAAATATTTAAAAAGAGCTTTTTATTTATGATTATTCTTATTTGTCACAATTACATTTTAGTCCATGAAAAAAAAAAAAAACATGTTCAAATATTGCTAAACATTTCACATTTTTGTTTAAACACTTAAAATGGAAAGTATTTTAACAAACTGTTTAGACTGAGATCTTTATATAAAACTACATTAAACAGTGAGTTCTTTACTTACAGTAGTATTTTGAACCTTGAACTTGATTTTGACAGTGTTATCAAGAAATAAATGGATAGGTAGAATATTCCAATCAGTGTTCAAAATATGCCGGTCTTGTTACGTCTAGTGTACATTTCTACATTTGTGTCATACGCTACTCAATTTGTGTGATTTTCCAAGCATGATGTTAATCCAAAATTACATCCTACTTGGCCAAAGCACATCCACCCTGTACAGTCACACACTTCCTTTCAATGTATGTCATCCAGCCACTTGAGCTGAAAGATTTACTCTTTTTAAACCTGCTCAGCTGAAAACTTCAGGTAAATCTTGTGTTGAGCTCTTCAGGAGAATCCTCCCGAAATGTGGTCAGTGGCACATTTTTCTCATTTTTCCCAAAGCTATAGAATTTACTACTCAGTTAGGTCTAACCCAGGTACAATTTCTTCATCCTGATGTCCCTGAAAATCAGTAAACAGATGATGATTAGACAAAAACAGTATATACACAATATCGGTCAAACATTTGGGCTCATTTGGATTTTTAAATGTTTAAAAAAAAAAACCTTCTCCTGCTCACCAAGGCTGCATTTATGTCATCAAAGTTACAGTACAAATTGTAAAATTGTGAAATGTTAATGCACTATAAAATAACTGTTCAAAAGTAGTTTATCATTTAATTTAATAATTTATTCCAATGATTTTAAAGATGACTTTTAGCGTCATTACTCCAGTGTTCAGAGTTATCTCTGATAATAATTAACATTTCTAATATTAATTGTTATTGTTATTATTATTAACAATAAGATTATTATTAAATACTAATAACAATAAAAGCAATAATGGCTAGAGTAATAATTTCATTTGAAACTACATAAAATAAGTAATAAATAAATATTTATTAAATAAATATTTAACAATTTAACATTTTTTTTACATTTAATAAATGCCACCTTAATGATCATAATAATAAAAAAAACATGAAAAAACTGACTCCAAACTTTTGACCTCTAGTGTACATCATAAATACAATACACAATAATTTCAATATTAATAAATTCATTATGACATTGTACATAGCAACATTTACCCGAGAGTCGTCTGCCTGTAGTAGAATAATTAAATTAGGAGAGTGCAAAACTTCAACTGAAAAGCCAGGCAGCCAGTTTGAAATTTGAGAACCTGAAAAATTTAACAAGTTTAAAAAGTTTAACTACTGTACAAAAGGTAAGACATTTTCCAATAGATACCCAAACACTATTTTGAAGATTGCTAAAAGAGTGACTGTAGAAAAAAAGTGTACAATTCCCCTTTAAAGCAATGATCTCTTAAAAAAACATAGAAAACGAGCCTGTAAAGTACATAAATATACAGCATTAAGTCAAAGGAATACATAGTTTGAATGGTGTGTAAAGTGGAATTTCATTATAGAGCATATTTTATAAATGCATTGACTAGTTTTAAAAGTATTTATTAATTTTACCATTAAAATGAAAAAGTTGACTGTGGTATCTGGTTGGAGGTCTGCTAGGCACATCAGTTGCTCCCAAACTGAACAATGCCCCCTCCTGCTCATTTCCAGTATGACCGCCACTCATATTTACAGACATCCTACATGTAGGACATGACATATTCTGCTCAAGCCAGGAACGCAGACATGACCTGGGAAACAACAAAACATGTTCACTATAGTCGTATAGTCTTAATTAGCAAAAGAACAATGACTGTTCCACAGAAACAATGAATACACGACCCATTCAAATGAACTCGCATTTACCTAATGTCATTCCCTAGGGTGGTAAAGTCATTTATTGGAACAAAGTAAACACATGATCTGTTTCATACTTGTGAAATAGATGGCCACAGGGTAATTTGTATGCTGTGTACATCTTTTCCCAGCAAATAACACATCTGTCATCACGAGATGCCAGCTCTTCCATTGTAGCCATTGAAAACCTGCCAAAAGAAAAGACTTTATGATTTATAAGCTTGTCTTTTCCCATTTTAATACTGCAAATTACCAAAACACAGTGCATAGCAGTTATCTTATTTACACATACAAATAAATTAACATACAGCACAATAATAAAGGGGCGAAACTTACACTGACATTTCAGGAAATTCATGTTTACCATTAAATATTAATCAACTCCTTTCAAAGACTTTGAAGAAACATTAATTAACAATGTGAAAAAGACAATGTTTTCTAATATTTGTTATATTCATATATTAATGAATTAATTTACATTTACAACAGTACAAGTTTGTGTTGGTACTTTGCAGTGATATACACTTTAGTACTACCTATATAAAAAACACGGCAGCAAAATTGCATGTGATTGACATTAAATTTGACATTTCTCTCTTCTGAATGCCCTCCATGTCCACCCCCCCCCCCCAACACACACACACACACACTCTCAGACTGTCTTAGTATTTATTTTGATATTGCAAAAAGAGATATATAAAAAAGCTTAGCAGTAAAACATACCTTGTGTCCATAACATCATATATGTGCATGTAGTTCTTGTGTTGAAATAATTTGCGCTGCATTTCTTTTGCCAAGAATCGTATGTGTGTCAGTATAAATAAATCAGCCACTGAGAACCAAACGTTCCCATATAGCTGAAAAAGAAAAACACAGGCAAAAATCAAGGATAATTAGTGCTATTCATTATATTATTTACTAGCAAAAAAATCCTGTAAAATTATTTATTAAAGGAGCTATATGCAAGGATTATCATAGATTATTAGCTCTTTTGTCAGTGTGTAAACAGCTTCTAATGAAACTCTTGAGACAAGACCTTGGCTGATTTCCTAGGTTGTCTATTAGGATTTGGACTTATGAAGCATGTTATTCTAATTAGAAACTTCTCTTTTTTGACACATGAAACAAATTGTTATGCAATGAGGATAATGCTGAAAGAAAAACTATATTTCAATGTTAATATGTTTTAGAAAAAAAGATAATTAATTATAATTAATTATCTACAGTCTCACAAAGCTTTAAAGTTCATAGTCTCAAACAGAGTAATCGAACAAAGTGTAAGTCTACTTGAAAATTCTCAGTTTTTCCAAGAATGCAGCAATTTATTTTTTAAAAGCTAATTAATTCAACTAAAAAGTAACTCACATAAAATTTTTTAAAGTAACTTAAATAATTTTACTTATTCTTTTTTTAAAATAATGCATTACTTATAATCATTAATAAGAAAAGTAATACTATTATGTAACTTGTGCTTATTTTGATATTGAGAAAAAAAATTATGTTAAATGTCAAACTAGCATCACTATGGGGTGCATATGTGTTCATCATCACTATATTGCTGCAAAATGTTTCCAACCTCTTTATTCTTACAAATTAAAGTATTTTTTTTTTAAGTATATTAAGGAACTCAATCACACTCAGTCCTTTTACATGAAGAGTGTACAAGTTGCTGACTGCAGTTTACTAGTATCGCTAATATCACGGGTTTGGCAATGCCACACATATACCCCTTTAATCGGTGGTTCTCAACTTCAATTTTGTCTTTTTAATTGGACAAATATGGTCCAGTTAATGGAGCTCATTGTTTATGGTTAGATTATTTGCATCAGTTGTGTTATTTAAGAAATACATGCACAATGTGCAGACATAACTCACCAAGGCTGGAGTTGAGAACCACTGCTTTAAATAAATGAAATATTTTCTAACAAAAAAGATGATTGTCTCACCAGCATGTTGATGTGGTGCATCATATCTAGGAGGAGAATACCCATCTCCATGACAAAGTCTGTGTAATAAATAAAGACCTCTTTACCTTCCCAGGAACTATCACACATCAGGTCATAGAGGTGAATTGCGTACCTGGGCAAAAATGATATATCATTTATATTAAGCAACTTTTAGAAAAATGTGTGTAACATAAATTTCAAGTTATGGGGGCTTTTGTTTAGCAGATGTGTATTCAGTCCCTTCAGGATTTTGCAAAGAATCTATACTTGAGTCCTGTTAAAACTAAATACATATTACAAATAATTATATATTTTACAAGCCAATCAGATTTTTAAGTTGAACTTTTTAATTAACCAGGCAATTTTTAAAAATATATATATGTTAGTGTCAATACTGATAACAAGGGAGAATTTTTAGCCCCCTGAAAATTAAAAAATGTTGGTCTTCAGACAATTCTTCATGCTAGATTTGTGCTTTGACATGCTCTGTCAACCCTGGGAACTTTTATATTCAAATCATGTCCAATCAGCTGAATATACCAAAGGTGAACTCCAATTAAGCTGCTGAAACATCTCAAGAATAATCAGTGGAAACAGAATGTACCTGAGCTCAATTTAGAGCTTTACGGCAAAGGCTGTGAATACTTATGTACATCTGATTTTTCAAGTTTTTTATTTTCAATTAATTTGCAACAATTAAAAAAAAAATCTTTTTCACATTGTCATTATGGGGTATTGTGTGTAGAATGTTGAGAAAATAAATGAATTTAATCCATTTTGGAATTAGTTTGTAAAAAAAATAAAATGTGGAAAAAGTGAAGTGCTATGAATACTTTCTGGATGCACTCTAAGTATACAGTAACAGTGAATACATATTCACTACCATCTTCTGCCACGCTCCCATTTTGTTATTTCTCCCGGAAAACTCCCATAATTTTACCCCCAACTAACCCCACACCCAGACCCCCCTCCCCCTCCTTTCTTTTTCTCGGACTTTCAGAGAGAAATTTTGTCAGGTATGTTCACTACTGTTGCAACCCATCTTTCATATTATACCTCTTGGGGCGATATAATGTTAACATATTTAATAATAATGTGGTTAATCTTTGATTTTAAGCATAAAAAACCTGTTGCAGTCTGCTTAATGTTACTCAAGACAAAGTTCTCTAGACGATTTATCTTCTTCAACTACTGCTTTTCCTTTTGTTTAATATCTATCTCAACATTCCCTGACCCACTGGATTATTTTTTTCTTCATCAATAAATAATTATGAAGAGTCCAGTTTATTTGTTATGCTGCTCGTGCTACAATAAAAAAAATTAAGCATTCATATTCCATCAACTCTCCATAGTAGATTTGTGTTTTTTTTGGGGGGGATACTATTTCAATATACATGTTTCTATGAACACAAGTAACTTAACAAGCAACACAGCAACACAATATGCTTAGAAGTTTCATCAATATTTCAATAAAGCGCAAATGTATGATTTTTGACACTATATTGTATATGGAACTTGTATTTAGAACTTGCTGTGATGTTATAACTTATTGTTGATAGATGTTAGTTTATTATATTAATTTATTATGTTACTAATATGTTACTTTCTGAAAACTCACATTTCCAAATACTTACCGAAGAATTGAATGGTTCACATAAACAGATACCATTAGGCACTAGAAAAACAGAATCTGTGTATTAAAAAACGAGTGTATAGAGTGCTTTCTGTCACACCCAGTGATTGCTTTCACATGCTTTTACACACTAGTCTTTCAAAGCCAGACTTTCAGACTCACAGTTAGAGATCTGGGGATATTCACAAAACATCTTAAGGGTTAATTTGCAGATTTAAGACAATATCTTTAATACAATGGTTGTGCCAGTCCAAATTTTAGAACTCTGAGAAATTTTGGGGATAGGGAAGAGGAATGGATTTGTGAAAATGGATTTTGTGAAAATCTGCCTTAGAGGAAAAAAAATAATAAAAAATTAAAGCTGCAAGCAGCGATGATAGGGACCTCGCACCCGGGCTCACCGCCGCCCGGTAGCCTCAGGATGACAGAGAGAACAGCGAACAACATTAATTTAAGCTGATATATATAAATAACCAGAGAAAATCACAGATTTATGCCGAACTTCCTCCTGTCAGCAGGTGGCGCTATAATTGTGACTAAAGATTTTTATGTAGATGCCTTCAGTAGAAGAGTCTTATCAACCGTGTGATTTTTCAGGCAGATCGGACATTGTGTGGCTGAGTTATAAGCCAAACTACCTTCTGCCAGCAGGTGGCGCTATGACTGACTCAATTATGTTATGTGGATGTGTTCAGGAGAGGAATTTAATCAACCATTTGAAGTTTCAGGCAGATCAGACATTGTGTGGCTGAGTTATAAGCCAAACTACATTCTGCCAGCAGGTGGCACTATGACAGATTCAATATTGGCTTTTAAATGTCTTCAGAAGAGGAATTTAATCAACCATGTGTAGTTTCAGGCAGATCAGACATTGTGTGGTTAAGTTATAAGGTAAAATTCCTTCTGTCAGCAGGTGGCGCTATGACTGTAACTCAATATAGGTATGGGGATATGTTCAAGAGAAGAATTTAATCAACCATGTGAAGTTTCAGGCAGATCGGACATTGGCTGTTTCTCAATTCCAAAGAACGCAGAGAATGGACTTGCGTTCTTGTAGAGTGCGGTCTTGCCAGCTGTCCTCGGAAGAACGAACTCAGGAGACCGCGAGGGCAGAGAACGCGTCCTTTGAGAAATGGGATGCTGCGTTCTTCCTGATGGTCATGTGACCTTTACGCGTTTTAACTGGAAATTAATTAAACATTACAGCCTTCATACAACGATTTATTGTTTCCCCCCTCTTCAAAATATATACTTTGCATAAAAACATTATAAATATACTCTGCACATTATAAATAAAACAAATTTTAATACGAATTTCATCAAACAAACACAATTAATGTGTTTATTCCTTTATTAAGATGTTCATGTTAATGTTTACCTTCACCGTTTCATTTAGGGAAACTCCTGAGGTAAATAAGTGATATCTCTGAACTTTAATAATAAATCTAAATAAAATGCTGCGCTTTCCACCTCCAGTCGCAATGACTTCTGGGACTTCCAGAGCGAGTTCGCTGTTGAAGTCTGCATCGGTGCGTCCTCGATATCAAGAACACATCCGGGAAGTTTCACGCGTCCTCCGTACTTGCGGTCTTGAGTATTGGAACTGAACTTAGGCAGCTAATGATGACGTTTCACGAGAACACGAGGACGCAAGACCGCTGAAGAACGCATATTGAGAAACAGCCAGTGTGTGGTTGAGGTATAAGGACTTCCTGTTTCATGGCGAAGCGTTGAGGTTTGTCATGCCACCACATACACGCCCCTCCGCAAAAACTCTAGATCTTCACAATATATATCATCGCTTGAGCTTTCAGATAACAACCAACCAAATTTAGTGCTGATACGAAAAAAATTTGTGGGAGGAGTTTATTACTCTGTAAATCATGTAATTTCCTGTGGCCAGCAGGTGGCGCTATAGCTGTATCTGGATATTGGCATGTAAATGTGTTCTGGTCTAGACTCTTATTAAACGTGTGAATTTTGAGGCAGATCTGATAATGCATGCCTGAGTTATAATGACGTCCGGTTTTGTGGCGAATCATCAAAGTTTGCGTGGCCGCCACGGACACGCCCATCGACAAAAACTCTAAAGCTTCGCAATTTAACATCGCCAAGGCCTTTAGATGATAAAACCCAATTTTGGTGTTGATCGGATAAAATCCCTAGGAGGAGTTCGTTAAAATACAACGCCTGGAAATGGCAAAAACGCCACTTTTTCGCCACAGGAAGTTAAAAATATTCGACTTCCTGTTGGGTTTGAGATATGGTTCCAAGAGACTTTTTCGTATGTTTTGCCATGTTTGAGGTGTGTGCCAATTTTTGTGCATGTGCATGATTCGTAGATCGGGGGCTCGTCCGTTTAATTTTTCTAGGTGGCGCTGTCGAGTCATTTTGCCACGCCCACTTCAATATTGTTATGTGGATGTGTTCAAGAGATGACGTTTATCAACCATGTGAAGTTTCAGGCAGATCGGACATTGTGTGGTTGAGTTATAAGGACTTCCTGTTCCATGGCGAAGCGTTGAGGTTTGTCATACCGCCACGGACACGCCCCTCTGCGAAAACTCTAGATCTTCACAATATATCATCGCTAGAGCTTTCAGATAACACCACTCAATTTTGGTGTTGATACGATAAAATTTGTGGGAGGAGTTTATAACTCCGTAAATCATGTCATTTCCTGTGGCCAGCAGGTGGCGCTGTAACTGTATCTGGATATCGGCATGTAAACGTGTTCAGGTCAGGACGCTTATCAAGCGCGTGAATTTTGAGGCAGATCTGATAATGCATGCCTGAGTTATAACGACTTCCTCTTTTGTGGCGAATCGTCAAAGTTTGCGAGGCCGCCACGGACACGCCCATCGATGAAAACTCTAAAGCTTCGCAATTTAACATCGCCAAGGCCTTTAGATGACAAACCCCAATTTTGGTGTCGATCGGATAAAATCCCTAGGAGGAGTTCGTTAAAGTACAACGCCTGGAAATGGCAAAAACGCCACTTTTTCGCCGCAGGAAGTTAAAAATATCCGACTTCCTGTTGGGTTTGAGATATGGCTCCAAGAGACTTTTTCGTATGTTTTGGCATGTTTGAGGTGTGTGCCAATTTTCGTGCATGTGCGTGATTCGTGGATCGGGGGCTCGTCCGTTTAATTTTTCTAGGTGGCGCTGTCGAGTCATTTTGCCACGCCCACTTCCGAAGCCCATAATAAACGTAAATTTTCGCCACTTCTGAGGCGTGTGCAAAGTTTCGTGAGTTTTCGGGCATGTTTAGCCCCTCAAAACCGCGATTCATTCCGCGGAAGAAGAAGAAGAAGAAGAAGAATAATAATTAAAGCTGCAAGCAGCGATGATAGGGACCTCGCACCCGGGCTCACCGCCGCCCGGTGACCTTTCGATGACAGAGAACAGTGAACAATAATAATTTAAGCCAATATTATTTAAAAAATCTAAGAAAATCACAGATTTATGCCAAACTTCCTCCTGTCAGCAGGTGGCGCTATAACTGTGACTCAAGATTGGCATGTAGATGTCTTCTGGAGAGGAATCTTATCAACCATGTAAAGTTTCAGGCACATGGGACATTGTGTGGCTGAGTTATAAGCCAAACTACCTTCTGCCAGCAGGTGGCGTTATGACTGACTCAATATTGTTATGTGGATGTGTTCAGGAGCGGACTTTTATCAACCATGTGAAGTTTCAGGCAGATCAGAGATTGTGTGGAGATTGTCTTATAAGACAAACTACATTATGCCAGCAGGTGGAGCTATTAAAGACTCAATATTATTATATAGATGTGCTCAGGAGAGGACTTTCCTCAACCATGTGAGATTTAGGCAGATCGGAGTTTGTGTGGCTGAGTTACAAGCCAAACTTCCTTCTGCCAGCAGGTGGCGCTATGACTGACTCAATATTGTTATGTAGATGTGTTCAGGAGAGGACTTTTATCAATCATGTGAAGTTTCAGGCAGATCAGACATTGTGTGGTTGAGTTAGAAGGACTTCCTGTTCCATGGCGAAGTGTTGAGGTTTGTCATGCCGCCACGGACACGCCCCTCTGTGAAAACTCTAAATCTTCACAATATATCACCGATAGAGCTTTCAGATGACACTACTCAAATTTGGTGCTGATACGATAAAGTTTGTGGGAGGAGTTTGTTACTCTGTGAATCACATCATTTCCTGTGGCCAGCAGGTGGCGCTATAACTGTATCTGGATATTGGCATGTAAACGTGTTCAGGTCAGGACTCTTATCAAGCGTGTGAATTTTAAGGCAGATTGGATAATGCATGTCTGAGTTATAACGGCTTCCTGTTTTGTGGCGAATCGTCAAAGTTTGCGAGGCCGCTACGGACACGCCCATCGATGAAAACTCTAAAGCTTCGCAATTTAACATCGCCAAGGCCTTTAGATGACAAAACCCAATTTTGGTGTCGATCGGATAAAATCCCTAGGAGGAGTTTGTTAAAATACAACGCCTGGAAATGGCAAAAACACCACTTTTTCGCCGCAGGAAGTTAAAAATATCAGACTTCCTGTTTAGTTTGAGATATGGCTCCAAGAGACTTTTTCGTATATTTTGGCATGTTTGAGGTGTGTGCCAATTTTCGTGCATGTGCGTGATTCATAGATCAGGGGCTCGTCCGATTAATTTTTGTAGGTGGCGCTGTCGAGTCAATTTGCCACGCCCACTTCAATATCGTTATGTGGATGTGTTCAGGAGAAGACTTTTACCAACCATGTGAAGTTTTAGGCTGATCGGACATTGTGTGGTTGAGTTATGAAGCCTTCCTGGTCAATGGCGAAGCGTTGAGGTTTGTCATATTGCCACGGACACGCCCCTCTCCGAAAACTCTAGATCTTCACAATATATCATCGCTAGGGTTTTCAGATAACACAACCCAAATTTGGTGCTGATACGAAAAAATTTGTGGGAGGAGTTTGTTACTCTGTAAAACATGTCATTTTCTGTTGCCAGCAGGTGGCGCTATAACTCTATCTGGATATCAGCATATAAACGTGTTCAGGTCAGGACTCTTATCAA